AAGAACATCCCAGGAGACCTTATACAACCAATACAAACGACATATAAAGATTATAAGGGTATAGTAAGGATCAATGGGAAGGAATCAAACAGCTTTAATATGGACAAAGGGGTCAAACAAGGCGACAGTCTCAGCCCCATATTATATATTGTTTATGGATGAGATTCTAAAAATCTGTAAACGTAGGACTGTAAGAGCAATTATAGGAAAATGGAATATGAGAACAATTCTAGCTCAAGCTCTCATATACACTGATGATATAGTCCTCATAGCAGAATCAGCCGCAAAATTACAGGAAGTGATTGTGGAATAGAAAGCTGAGCTTGAAAGAAAAGAAATTGAAGATGTACAAATAAACTGCAGGGGTGGAGTAGCCGAGCAGGCTAAGATGTGTGCACAGCACCGCACATTGCCCGGCAACCTGATAACCGAAGGTGGAGACAATAAAATTATGAGTCCACATTCTGGTGCCCAGGGGTTCTTTTAACTTTGGCATTAATCCACCGCCCTCACCCTCTGACCCGGGAAAACTCCCTTATAGCCTAAAAGATGGACAAAAAAAATAAATGAACTGTAGGGGTAAGAAGCTGGAGTCAGTAGAAGAATACACATACCTAGGAACAGTTGTTGGAAGAAATGAAAAAATAGACCAAGAGATATCAAACAGGATCAAAAAAGCAAATAGCATCTATTACCACGTCTGCAACACAGTTGTAGGAAAACGAGAGGTGGGAAATATGACTAAGATACATAGATTCAACACACTACCTTCCAACCCTACTGTACAGTAGTGAGGGCTGGGTTCTAATGGATAGGCACAAAAGTAGACTTACCGCTGCCAAAATGAAGTATCTGAGAAGAATAGATGGCCGAACTAGAAGAGATCGCATCGGAAACAAACGGAATACAGAAAATGTTAAGGTGGCACCAATGCTGGAAACTGTGGAAAAGAAAATCCTCGAATGGTTTGGCTATGTTATAAGAATGAACGAGGTCTGGGAACCCAGAAAATTTCTTGAGGCAAGACCCAAAGAAAAGAGGCCAAGAGTACATCCACAGAAAATTTGGTTTGATGAAATAACCAAGCTGGGACAGAAAAGAGGCGAGCAGTTGGGTTATATGAGGAACATGGCGTGGGATCGTGAAGCCTGTCGTAAATGGGTCGATGCCCCTCCACGCTGAAAAGCACTAAGGAGGAAGACAAAGAAGAAGAATAAAGAAAATAAATTTTTGAAAAATATTTTATTAATTTTCTTTGGAAAAATAAAATAATTAACGTGTAACAAAATGGTAAATTTAAAAATCAAGCAATAATTACAAAAATTATAATCAATACAATAATACATAACATTACAAATATAAACTTTTGTTTAGGAGTGATGTAGGCTGCTGATAAACGCAACAATGTATAGTAAGAAAATCAGTCTTAAAATGTATTTATGTAATTGAAAATGTATCAACACGTTCACATTTCTTTAATAAATATAAATAATTCATTAACAAATGAAAAAGCACCATAACACACACACAAAAAAATATTCTTATGTTAACATAACTATAGTATTTAAAATCAGAAAGAAAAAAAAAGTAAAACCATAACTCAAAAAGAAAATAAGCAGTTTCAACAGAATTTTTTATACAAAACTACAGGTTTAACGAATTGACGAAAATCTGTATGTAAAAAATAAATATTTATTTATAACTATGAAATATTTTAAATAGCCATAAGGCTATTTAGAGACATAAATGTGCTGCTTGAATAATATTAATTGGATTAACTGAAAGAAGTATTTATCAATTGACAAGCATTACATTAAAATGTAGGAAAACATGTAACTGAAATAGTTATGTGAAGTAATTTAAATGAATTATACAATTATTTAAATTAAACAATATTTTGGTAAAACATTCAAGTTTTTTTTTTTTTGACTAGTGATCAAACAGAACCAAGTTTTTCAGAACATATTTCTACTATAAAGCTAAAAGGTAAACATACTCCCATCAGAAAGGAAAAAAAAAAAAACTATCTCACTTAGCTGATTTAAATTAATTCTTAAGCATCACTCAAATTAAATTCTCAAAACACATAATTTATACAATTACACTTAAAGTATATAAATTAATGTAAAGGCACCGAGATAGATAGATAGAGAAACAGAATGAGAACTAGAAAAAAATGTTTTAAAAACATATTTCCTGACCCGGCTGTAGAGACAAAAATTAAAATGCTCAAAAAATATTCATGGATAGATAAATCATTTTTACTAAAAACTCAATTAACACCATTTTTCTATTTCCAAGACTAATAATGAATCATTAAAAAAAATAAAATAAAATATTTAACTTAATAACAAGTCGTAGAACATAAACACAAGCTTTAATATAAAAGAGAAAAACTAAAAGTGTAAGCTTTAAAACATTATTAACAATGCAATATAAAAGATGTTTACTGTAACTTATAAATGGAAAGTATGATTTCCATTAAGCTTTAAGATTAAATTAGCAAAGAAAGCTTCTTTAACATAAAAAAAAATACTACAAAAAAGCTTTATAAGCATGTTGATGATAAAAACAGTAGATATTAATAACAATTCATTAATCCCTTTTCTATAATATACTTTTACAGTATTATCACTCCAAAATTAAACTCTGTCATATAATATGTATAGAAAAACAAAAATTTAATGTGTAAACAATACTATTATTTGAGTTAAACAACAATTACTTTTGAAGTAAATCATTGCTATTACAATAAGATATAAAAAAATACATTTTACTAATGCTAAAAAATAAAAATTATTGTTTTAACTACTGAATAAGTTAATTAACTAATGATTTCCAATGTAACTACTAAATTTACTGTATCTGGAATAAATTTTATTGCACTTTCCACATTTTTACTGAGTACAATGTACCTAAGTTGAAGAAATATAATAAACAGACTTTTACTGTAACAGTGAAATATATAATTATATAAAATAAACACCAAAGCTATTTTAGTTTGTTCTTATTCTATTACAGAGTAACATTTGTATAAAAAAATAAAGACAAACAAGTAGTGTCATATTGGTAAGCCACTAAAAACTAAATTGGAATTGTTTAACATATAATACAACATATGTTTCGATAATTAATAACTTATTCAATAGACCATATTTTTTCATAAATCTGATCATAATTATTAAGAAGCTATATAATTGCACAATTATCTTTACATTATATTTCTAAATAAATATACAAAGGCACACAAAAGTAATAAATAAAACATTCTATAGAATGGTTTCTCAGAAAGACATCACAGTAACTAGGGCTAAAGCTGGACTTCTACAAATACTTGCAATTGCTAAGCTCCATTAATCAATCATTAAGACTGATATATTTATTGTTCTTTATATATTTTTGTAAAATAAATAATAAATATTATTTACACTATTCTTTTCAATAATTTACAATCTATTAAAACAAAAATCACAGGGAGCCAGTATGCAGGATACAAAATTAAACTCTTAATCATAAATATAAAAAAATATACATTCACACATAAGTGTGTGTGTAAAAAAATTAACCAATTGGAAAAAACTAAATTCTATTCAACCTGAATTAATACTGTTGTAACTCTCGCAACCTTAAGAAAATAATAATTTGGCACAAAGGCTGCATTAGATACCCATAATAAACAAACAAATAAGTAAATAAGATTTAATGAACATAATAAACTATAAATCAAAAACATTTTATAAAATAAATTAATAGTAGTTTTTATGATTTTATCTATTAGATAAAAAAAATAAATTATAAAATCAACGATTGACTAAACAATAATAGGTTAATAAATGAGACGCAAACTAGATCATTTTATAATAGCTTAAAAAGATTTTTCATAAAAAACATAAATTTTCTCATTATTCATCAATTTTATATAATAATAGTTTAAATATGCATGAAAAAAAAAATAATAATACCTCCCCAGTTTATTGATATGCTTATATAAAATCAATACTTAATGAAAATTTATTTGATTAAAATGTAAATGATACAAAAATACACGTAAGCAGAAAAAAATAAATGATAAGACCAAAGAACATGATAAGAACAATAAAATTAATTAACCAGAATATCCAATATAGTTCTTAAAGAAAATAACATATAACAATCTCTAATATATTTGTAGTAGTAAATATTTGGTTAGTAAATATTATTTATCTGAATGACGAAATCAGACAAGGTTATAATCTTAGAAATAGGAGCCATAAATATTTTACATGTTATAAATGTAAGCTATGATAAATTAAAAATATAATCATAACTATTGAGAGTCAATTTTTAAACAAATAAAAACAAGATGCATAATTATTGGTTCTATTAGGTAATCGACTTGAAAACAAAATTAAATTATTTTTTTAATAATCTATTGGTCATTAATTTAGTTTTAGTGAAAACAGTCTAGCGAAACTATTAACCTGCCTAATAAAAGTAAGAAATGTTTATAAGAAATTTTGAACTTATGTTGAAGAAATTGTAATAAAAATAAATAAATATTTAGAATGTCAATAACTGACGAGAAGTTAGCTCTGAAAGTTCGACTACACCGTGTTACTATTTCAAAATCGAATTAAATGCTTTCCCAAAATGCAAGTTATATATATACACATTACAAATAAATTAAAAAAATATAAAAGTAACAAGAACTATAGCTATCCTGCATACTTTATTATAATTACTGAAAATAATTTTACTATTGTCATTATTTATCAGCTAGTTCAGTGTCCACCCCTAGGCACTTAACATTGTTATAATTAAATTCTCATGTATATAAAATACAACAAATTTACAAAACTATTTACAGTACACTGTTCACTTTCATGGTAGTAAAGTATTCTTCAATAAAGAATTATATCTTCAGAATTAAATTAACTTATTAGACCATTAAAATATGGGACAGAAACATGTTTTTATTTGTATTTAAAATAGAAAATTCATCAAATATTTTTAAACTTAAAGATGAATTATGTATACCAAACTGTTTAACATGATACAATTTAAAAAAGGAATACTATATTATTTTTTCATTTCAAAGCAAAGACTAGAACAGGTTGAAGTATTGATAACTTAATAGGATATAAACCTCATTGTTTTCAACTTAAACTATGCTATATCTCTTAATATGACAGCATTAGTCACATGAGGAAGATAAATTTTCTCATCAAACAAGAAATATTAATGTTTCTCAGACTTGTCAGGAGACTTATTCACCTGAGCATACAAATCAAGTACTGACTGAGGAATCTCAGGAATGGATAAGGACTGTGGAGGTTGAACTGTCGATGAGTCCTGCTGCGAACCTTGAAAATCTGGAGAGTGATGTGAGACATCAAGAATAGGAGAGTGCTGTGTGATTTCAAGAACTGGAGAATGACGTGTAATATCAAGAACTGGAGATTGCTGGGGAAAATTTGGTGGTATATTTGGTAATATTGGTGAATTTGGTGGAAGTGGAGAGGGAGGGTGAGGAACTTCCTCACCACCTTGCCTCATTACTACTTCGTAGTCAGGGGCCTCGACTCTCTCGTAAGGTGGTTCAGATGACTCAACGCTTTCGTAATTTGGATCCACAGATTCATAACGGCTGAAAAAATAAGGTTAAAATTATTTTTATAAATGGATAATAAAAGAATAATGAAGGAATTAGTCAAGCTTGGAACTCATATCTAAAATTAAAACAGAAACGGCTCGAAGTTCCAGAATCCAAACAGCTTAACCTTAACGAAACAATCATTGGCGAAGGGTCATTCTTACAGGATTGTTTTACTGAATAAAGTTATTGTTAAAATTATTGATTTATAAACCTTCATTTGCAATAGTAGCAATCACTGATTTTTCCCTTAAAAACAGTGATTTTATTTTAAAGAAGTCTTTGAATAATAAAGATATATTTTATCATTTTCTATTTACTAGTAGGCCCGTGCGAAAAATTCGCACAGCATATTGTTATCAAATGCCAAATTAATAAGAAAATGCAATTTATCAAAAGATTAAGACATCAAATGTTACTTTATTGATAAATATAATCCACAAAGCAAACAAAAATTAATTTAAATCTTCATTTTTGTTTGGAACCAACATGTATACAAATTTCAGTAAGCTGTATATTTGCTAAAAATTGTTCGATTGCGATGATTTTTTTTTTCCTTTTGTAGGGAATTTAGTAATGTTTTATATAATTATGGGCATAACCAAGGGAAAAGTGTGTAATTTTTCAGTTATTCGCAAATAAAGTTTATTTTCTTTCATAACTTGTTTGCCTGAATTTTCTGGGTGATTGGACTATTTTGCCAGCCTGAAGGAGAAGGAATCCTTCGAAATTGGTGGCTCAATCTTGAGATTTGGTGAAAAATTAACGATGATATGGCTTGCCGATCAAAAACACCATCGATCAATAATATAAACTCCCCCTCTCTCGATCATAGAGACCTTAAGTCGACGAAATGAGACATGTATTCAATGACAGTACTACAATTAATGTAAGATTGTGTGGATGCGAACCTTATGCCTTGCGTTATCTCGAAAATAGTACGTTTTTCGGCTTAAAAATGCAGGATCCGATAGTTCCGAAGGAACTATCCGGGTCTTGCTGTACGCATCAAAATCTTTAAGATCCAATTTGTCCCGTATCGATCTACAGACCTACCACCGTTCCAGTATCGAAGCCTAGAAAAATGTTTGTATCGACTTTATTTATTTTAGAAAGAAAAACAAAAGTGGAGAATACGATTCGCTAACCCCCCGTGAAATTCTGAATCCAACGGTACCCCATTCGTGGTATTTGAGCATGACAGGAGCTTATATTTGGTACAAAACCGATTTCGAGCCTTACTGTAATAATATATGTACGGATATAGAATTAGATATTATTGAAAGTAAGAAAAACGCCCTTCTTTAGGAATATGATGCAGAGCACCGAAAGCTCCAAAACATAAATATATGAAACTGTAAAAATAAGGATGTTTTTCTTACTTTCAATATTATTACAGTCTACCTATTAAATATAATTAGATATTATTTATAAAGCAAATAATGAAAAATATGTAAATTTTAATTTTTTTTCAAAATCTATCTTTCTACTTGAAGGTAAGAGATCCTGTCTTTCGTCCAAATGAAATGAGCTTACTTTTTTCCCATCTTATTTAGCTGCTGTATGAATAATAAATCAACTTAAAAGACCATAGTTCCAGAAGCCAACATCAAGCCATTTACCTTTTCTGGTACATTTTAAAAACTAAAAGTAAGAAAAATATTATAAAATACCACATTATACCGCACCTATAACTACATGTTGGTTTTTTAAGTAAAGTAGCAAAATAAGGTCGTAAGGTTACTTTCCAGAAGTTCAACATAAAAAGAATTATAATATGAAATATAAATTATAAATAATAGCTCATTATAAAGAGGATGAAATGCTGAACATTTCCCTCACTTACAATACGTAGGTCCGATTTTTAGTTTGTGAGATATTTTAAGCCATATCTTCCATAAAACTCTTTATCATTTGGTTTTCGCCACTTTCTAACAGCATCACATTAAGAGACAATTTTGAACAATAGCCCATTATGGTGAGGATGAAATGCTGTACAATTCCCTCACTAAGAGTAAGCAGATTTTTAGTTTTGGAGATATTCTAATCCATATCTTTAATAAAACTCGTTATAATTTGGTTTTCGACAATTATTTTCCTCTTTTCGTGTCTCTAACACGGGGTCACATTAAGAAAATTTTGAATAATAGCTCATTACAAAGAGGATGAAATGATGAATATTTCCCTTGCTAAAAATATGCAGGTCCAATTTTTAGTTTTTGAGATATTTAAATCCATATGAAAAAACACTTGAATTAATCGACTCTAGCCAACTTTACCTGAGCATTACAAATCGGAGATCTGACGGCTCAACCTAATTCAGTCTCCACAAAAAAAGTGCAAAACGTGCAGAAAGAAGTTTTCACTTCAAAATATTTTTTAAAAAATAAGAAAAAATATTACCTTCTGGAAAGACTTGCATAATCATGATCTTGCAATTCTTCATAGTTTGGATCTGCAACTGTTTCATAACCTGCTAGAGGAGCTTCATCAGTAACTGAACACGGAGGAGATGGAATAGGATTGGGTATCTCCTGCATAGGGGTGTGTTCAGGAGATCGTTTTTTAACCACTTTTGCATACATTTCATCTACAATACCAGCCGGTGGTTCAGGAAGAGGAGAATTTGCAGGTCTCCTCTCACGTCGAGGTGATTCATCACTTGAAGTTGAACGACCATCTGAAAATATAAATAGGACTTGTAAAACTATTATACAAAAAACAATAGAGATTAGAATAATTTTAAAATTAACCTATATGTTAGGGTTAAAGTAAACTAAATTGTACTGAACTTTTACTAAAGGAGGCAATTACTAATAGGGATAAGAAACAAGGGTAACTTTTACTCGTATAACGTATAACTACCAAGCTAGACCTACAATTAATCACTATATTATTGAGCACATACATAGAGATGGGTGAACTTGCTAAGGTGCTTGCAAGAGGTAATGGATATCAAAGTTAAGCAGTGTTGAGAGTGGTTTAGGAACTGGATGGATGGCCATTCATAACAGGAATTCACCATATTCTCCCTTCCCCATGGTATTAGACCTAGCCGAGTGAAAGCAACTCTCATTGTCCAAGTGTAAGATTGATGACCCCAAGTACTATTATTGAGAATTGTGTTGTGGTCTTGATGGCATTAACAGCCTGTAAGTTTGGTACAAATATTTGCTTCAGATAAGAGAATATAGGTCTTAATAATCCTGCTTACTGAGAACAGGCATAATATATGGTCTATGATGAATTTGACACTATTCTTGAACCAGAGTCAGTTTGTGGGACTAAAACTGCCAAAATGGCATCAAAGGGAGTTAAGGAGCTAATGGGTTAAGGAGCTACGAATAGCCTGCCCCTAAACCATGAAAACCATGGCTCCAAGAAACGTGAGGTTGGATGACCTACAGGATGTACTGCTACAAGCAATAAAACACTTGAAAGAAGACTAAAAAAAATCTGATACATAAAATCTGCCAATTGAAAAAAAAAGAACATATATGTGAAGATATTTACTAATGAGATTAATTACTAATTATGTAGACCATAAGGAATACTACGGGTCCTACACTTTCAAACTTCATAAAAATTCCTTTCCTAAGAAATGTATATATTAATGAAAGGTGAGCAAAGTAGAAGGTTTGGTGGTGTGATTGGGTCACAATTGACACAAGAATAACCAGGGGTAGGACATGAAATAGCTGCTTGGTTTTCTATTTTGACATAGCAATTAATTATAACTCCCTACTGGAAAACAGCAATAATGATTTGTAATTTTTAGTGAACATTAAGTTCATCAAGAGGATCCCTCTAAGCTATTTAGGTTCAGCTGCTAAGTCAGAGAAGCTGGTTTCAGTCTCTTTCATTTGCAGGGTCTAGAGAAACATGTTTTAATTCCATCGACTGAGACAGACTCCATGGGTTAGACAAGGCCAATAACTGATGAATGCAATAATTTACAAAATAACTTGGGGATTAAATTTATAATGGGAAAATAAATAAAAAGAACATGCTGGAGGAAAGGTGATAGTGGCCGAAAACAATGAAATTTTCAAAAAGTTTAACTATGTTATTTTAAAATAATACAAAACTACAACAGAGATAGAAAAAAAATAAAATACAAGCAAAAAATTGTAACAATGAACTACATCATAAATAAGAAAGGATATATAACTAGAAACTAACAAAAAAAAAAAAAAATAATAATAATAAATAAAGATAGAAATAAATAAAATATTCAAATATAAATCCAAAAGAATAAACTAAAATTAAGAAGAACACAAAATAAAAAATAAAATAAAAAACCTATACTCTGCTGATGTTGAATGACAAGAGGAAGGACTGACGGTGGGGAAATTTGAGCGTATGTCTCACTTCCAGACGTATTTCTTTCATCAATGGCAGCATACATCTCATCAGAATCATCTGAAACGGTAGCATAGTGGGGATCACCTCTCCTACTGGCTAGAATAGTGGCAAGGGGTTCCCTCACGCTTATACTGGTGTAACCTTCTGGAAAATTAAATAACTAAATAAATATGAGTTGTATAAAAATAAAAATTAATTAACAGAAATTAAACTTGCCAATAACTAGAATCTAATTAAAATAGGCACTAACAAGGCAATGTCACAGTCAGTTGGTTACTGATTTTAACCAAATGTTTTTGATGATTCTACAACACAATCTTGGTTGGTGTTAGTTCCAATAGACTTTGCGAGCCATATTTTCAACAATTTTTATATTATTGGTTTTTAACTTTTCTCTGCACAGATTTCAAGGTTGTGTTTAAATAGAAAATAAATTATTATTATTATAGTCATAGATAAGTGAAAATTTGAAATCCAAGAGACTTGGAAAAATTCATTTTTTTTTTTACCAAATAAATGCATTGTTTGGGGTGGGGCAGTTAACAGATTATAACTTGATACAATCATTACAAGTTCCTGCCAAGTCAGGGAAGGAGGGGGGCATTTAACTCAGGCATTAATCCCTCCCTTACCCCCAGCCCGAGAAAACCCTGTACAGCCTATAAGACGAGGACAAAAAAAAAAAAAGTGAAAAGTTTTAAAAACATTTCATATTATTTTCTTACATATTATTTTTATCTTGAATATATTTTTTAAAGTTGCAAAATGACTTAGATCAATTAATACCACAACACAAACTAATAAAATAAACTTACTTCCAGAATCCTGAGAGTCACCAGAGAAATGCTGTTGAGGAATTGGTGGGGTCATATAAGGGAGATCATGATTGGCTGGAACAGACCCAGCAATCGCTGATGCAGCTGGAATCTCATCAACAGGAGGCTCACTAACTGATGGTGTTTTACTTCTACTACCCTCTTCGCGTTCCCTTTCACCACTCCTTCAGATAGACAAATATACAAAATTATCATATGTAATAATAATAATTAACAATGATTAAATAATCTATATTAATAAAAACATAAATATTTGTTTGTTCAAAACCGCTAATCTCCGAAACTTCTTCACCGACTGCTAAGAAATATTGACATAACATTTCTATCGGATTCAGGAGTGTTTTCATATACATTTAATTACCCTCCGGCCTTTTATTTCAGAAAGGGGGCCGAAAAACCTGTATTTCTATAGACTGTAGAGCCTAAACGGCTGTAATAATTTTAATTCAACTTGGCTAAAGTCTTCTCCTTGAAGCCCTTTTAATTTATGTATAAAAAATTCTTCTCCAAAAAGAGTATGAAAAAATAGTTACGGTGGGTTCAAAACTATATTCGGGGATAACTAAAAACGTACACAGTTAATGTTTCATTATATCCATCATTATTTGAAAGCTTTCTCGATTCCCAGCAAATCAAAAAAAATAAAATAAAATCACTAAAATTGGACGATTTGGTGCAGATATAATGGTTTAAGCATTTAGTACTTTTTCTTGGGTGATTTTGAGACTGCTTGCTTCTCACATAGACAGTTATATGTTGCGAATTCTAGAGTTGGAAATCCAGACAATCTCTATATCTATACAAAGAATGGAACAACAAAAACTATCACAAATCCACAAGTATTGTTACATAAAATACATTAGAATTATCTACTTTCTTTTTCTATTTAATCAGTATGAGCCACAGCAACACGTGGTCGGTTACAGCTAGTATTTAATATAATTATAACTCCATAAAATGTCATGCATCTAAAAACTGTATTTTTCAGGAAAGGTAAAAACTGATTTTTATGATTTGATTTGATGATTAAATAAATACTTTCTTTTTCATTTATTCACAGCACTATAGAACTACATCTTCATTAACCAGACTTTCCATACTAAATCACAGTATAAATTACTTTCATTAAGGTAATAATTTTGATTCAGCAAACTCACAAGCACATAGCAGTAAATTGTTTATCTTGGTATGGCCTATCCACGGTGAACTAAATGAAAAACTATTTTGCACCACCAACTGAGAATGCTCTCATTTAGCATTAAAGACGATTTAACAGTGGAGACAAAGATTTACATGACTGACTTGATAAAGAAATAGAAACATGAGCTTTTACGAAAGATTCTGTGATAATGGACAGCATTTATTAAATTGTAGCTGCCATTGGAGAATGATTCAAATAATAATGAACCAAGAGCAAGATACTGAATTGTTAAGAACTATGAACTGGAGCAAACAAGATAGATGAAAATTTTCAAATACTTTAATTATTTTTTAATCCTTTTGATTTTATAACATTTTGAACAAATTGTTTATTATTGGAAATTGATTAAATTAACATTTTTTGTGATTTATATATATATATATATATATATATATATATATATATATATATTATATATATATAATATATATATATATATATATATATATATAGTGTGTGTGTGTGTGATACTGGTTTAAAATGTTAAAACGCTAAATATGTAAAATAAATAATAAACCTCTATTACGAGCTGAGAAAAATCAGTAGTAAATAAAGTATTTATTGAATTGAGAGAAGTGTTGTCAAAATAAATAACTGAATCAGGAAAATAAATGGGATTATACTATCTTAATATAGGGAAATGTTTACAATTCCAATTACTAAACATCATTCTACCATGAGTCACTGATTGAGTGACTCACTAATAATTCACTGACACTTCATATCCTGCCAATATGGATAACAATCAGATAAATAACATGACAATCTATTTTATTTAATACCAACACTATCAAAACCATTTAAAAAAATTAATTTTGTCTATTAACAATAATTAAATTATGAATTAAGGTTGTTAGAAGAATTCAAAATAAAAATCAAATTTATAATAATTCATAATTATAAATCATAATAATTAAATATATTATAAACTAAATTACTTTATAGTGATTAAGCACAAAAATGAATAAACTTGGTTACATAATAACAATATTTAACTGTCAATAAACTGATTTTCAATTTGTTCACATAACTTTTAAAAACCCACAGTTCATAATTAATACATATAGATAAATTATACCTTGGAGCAGATGAATTTATGGCAGTATCTTGTGAAGTACTAGGTACTGCACCTCCATTTCGAACCTGGGCATAAGGATGTTCGTCTATAGAAAATTAAAAATAATCACATTAAGTTAAAAACGTTGTCTAAACATTCAATGTAATTAGGGTCACAAATGCTTCTTTGTATTACTTTGTTGCAGCTGGTCATAAGAATGATCGCCTTTAAGACGAGCATAAGGTGAAAGGCTGTCATCCGTTTGGCTAGGAGTATAACTGCTATCAACAGTGAGACCACTGGTCAAATTTCTTTTTTTCCGGTTAGCATCTAAATAAAATTAAATAAATTTAAATTATTAAAAAATAGACAAAATGAGAAAAAAATATGTATTTTTTTTAAAAAGAAAGATGTGAGATCTTATTTAATATGTATCAAGAGTCCCCAACCTTTTTAGCATCTAAATATAATTAAATAAATTTAAAATATTAAAAAATAGACAAAATGAGAAAAAAATAATTTTTTTAACAAAGGACTTGAGATCTTATCTAATATGTATCAGGAGTACCCAACTTTTTTCTAACCGACACATTTAAGTATTAACAGTGAAGCTGCGGGCACAGATTTTTTTTTTTTATTGCTTTATATTATTATTATTATCAAAAGATAACATTTTCAACACAAAAAAAGTATTGCTTCTATTCTTATCCAAAATTTATATTTAAGAAATAAAATGGTAAAGATAATGTGATATTTGCTGTGGATCTCATTGATCACTGCTTTATAATTTGGGGAATATGATTATTAGAAACAAAATATTAAACAAATATATAAAATGCCTAAAATAAAATAAGGAAAATACAATGATATAAGTTAACTGGAAAATATTGTTAAAACTCCATGACACCAATAAATGACTTTTTTTTCCCAAGAAACACAATAATATTTTCAATCAAGCAATTATTAGATATTTAAAAAAAAAGACTTAATAAAAAACTGGTTGAACATTGCGTAATGCAGTTACCAGCTGCATTGATGAGTTGGTGTCGCATATGTAGTCAGACGGGGACATATGATATCAAATGTAAAGGTTTAGGAACCCCAGGACTATGTGTTTTTACTGTTCAGAATTAAAAAATTTAATTACTTCAGTATAATTGATCAACTCGTAACTCAGTATAATTGATTAAAATTTCACTCAAATATTTTTAAGGCTTAAAATTAACCTTCTACAGTGGCATAAAGATCTGAGTTTGTATCTGCATTGTTTTCAGTGTTGGACCATAACTTTTCAGATGCTTCTCCTGAATCAACTGGAAGATCAGGAAGACTCCGAGTAGCCGTAGATACGGCATTGTTACCTCTAAAGATTAAAAAAGAAAAGATTATTAGGAAAACTTAATCATTTAAAACATTGTTGAATTTAAACATTGAGTTTTAAAACGTGCAAATAAAAATACATAGAATTAGAAACATTTAACACATATAACAGCAAAAATGCACCACAAAATTAGAGAAAAAGCTTGTACGAATTTATTATTATTATAGAGCAAACTTACTGTAATTAACTCTACAATACATGTACAATTAACACAAAAAATAAAAACAAGGCAAAATAAAACAAAACATAAAAGCACCTTTTGTTCAGATCATGGTTCTCATTTTTTAGTTCATCATCAGCAAACACTTCTACAGAATTTAACTGAATATTAGGTGGAATGTTAAAGTTGACATTCTCATCAGGATTGGTTATTTTTACTAACCCCGCAAGTCCTAGTAATTCATTCCTAATCATGACAAAATAAAAAAATAATAACTAGAGAAATAAGCAAGGCATGCAATGCAAAATAAGCAAAAAACAAATGTAAAATATAAACTCATCTATGAAATACTATATCATTAATAAAATAATACACAACAAAGAACTGATATACACATACTTAGGTATCTTCTTGCGACAGCCACAAACACATGAAAGAATGATAATAGTGAAACAAATAACAATTGATCCAGAAGTAATCCAAACACTGAAGAAATCTGCATTCTCAAATTGCATGATTGTCACCTAACTCTTTCAGGGTGGATCTAAAGCAAATTTAAACTGATAATAATAATAATAGTACAACATAATATAAGTAACTGAACTACTTCAAATCAGTACTGTTTCTGTTCGTTTAACCAGAATTTAAAACTTACGGAGAACATATAAAAATCATGATTGCCCAGAAAAGTTATTGTGTTTTAGGAAAAAAACCATCAAATAAATAAACTAACTAAACACTCAACTTAAATGTCAACAGAACTAAACAGCAGCCATGTTTAGGTAGCTGTAATTTCACACAGTGTGGACATCAGTTACTGGACAGATAGTTAATAAAATATTTTTTCATATCGCATCGCTATTTCTAAATTCTATAATCCTTTATTACCATATATACTTTTTAAAAACAATAGATTTTGCAGAACTACCTCTCCCCCCGTTCACAATCGCTACACACTTAAATAGCACTTCATCTATCTCCTAATAATATATAAGAGAATGGGACTTTGATTACTTATTATTATAATTGTAATTTATATTCTTCAACTAATATTTATAAGTGTTACAGGATTTATTTTTTTAGTTCTAAATAACTGGCGCTATGTCCATGAGCTTTCTATCTATTCGATTGGTACCATCAGTATAATCTATTTCGACATATTAAAACATATACTGCATTAAATTGTTTACCGTTGATTCTTATGAAAGAAGTTAGTTAAAGATCAGATTCATTGGAAGTATACAAAAATAAATTACTACAAGGAACACAACAATAATCTACAAGAAAATACATTGGATCTAATGACTCCTCAACCAACTCCTCTTATTAAAAAATAAACTGAGGTGAAATAATAAGGGAGGAGATAAGAATATCAATATTCAGCAAATCCTTGGAAAACTGACCCCACAGCATGTCATTGCAGCCCTGGAGCAAGGGGGCACTCCGGCAGCCACCCTGGAGGAAACAGCAAAGATGTTTATTAAAAAGACATATTCCAGGGATGATCCAACACAGGATGATAATGACCATACATTTGTGAGAAGAGCCACGGTATACCCGCCTGGGACGGATCTGTGCCCATCATGGGACATTTGGGACCTCCGTAGTGCCGTGGAAAAGCAAAAGACTGGCCGGGCCCCAGGTTTAGATGCGATTGATGCGGCAATGCTCAAGAATAGTATTCCCTATTTAGAGAATAGGCTGCTTGCGATTCTCAACAACTGCCTAGACAGAGGATAATTTTAAGAAGCTGGAAAATTGCTGATGTCAGACTCTCCTACAAAGGATGAGACGAGGACAAACAACTTAATAAATCATACAGGCCCATTTGTCTCCTTCCTATAATGAGCAAGGTATTGGAAAACCTGATGCTCTTGAGCCTTCGGCCAGTCTTATCAAGATCGAGCCATCCACGGCAATATGGACCCACTAAAGGCAAGGGAACCGCAGATGCCATATTGCGAGTGCTTCATGACGTGGAAGAAAGAGCGGAGAAGTATGTTATGCTTCTCCTGCTCGGCATATCCTCTGCATTTGACAGCGTGTGGTGGCCGAGCGTTCTCCAGCAACACTCCAGAAGTATGAAACTCCCAATAATCTGTATGACCTAGCGAGAAGCTACCTCCAGGACCGGATTGGAATTGAAAATTAGGGGCAGATTCTTTGAAGTAGAAGACACCGTCGAGAAGGGCTGCTCGCAGTGATATGTTCTGGGTCCTGCCTTGTGGAAGCTGGTCTTTGACGAGTTGCTGGAGAAGCTCGAAGAGGAGCGGTTGCCTGCCACGGCCTATGTTGACGATTTGGCCGCCGAAGTGGCCTCAAACAGCATAGCCGGTCTGGAAGCAGAAGCTGAACGATGTGCCAGTTTGGTAGGAAGATGGTGCGAGAGGAAGAAGTTAAAGCTGGCTGCAACAAAGACCCAGGCAATTCTCTTGAGGGGCTCGAGTGACAAGGCACATCATATTATGCTGAGTATAGAAAAATAAAGGATATGTCCAAGTGAGGTTGTCACCTACCTTGGCATAAAAATTGGTCGAAAGTTCAACGTGACTCCTCACCTGGACTATATGAGAACTAAAGTCACAGTGGCCCTAAATGGACTCAGCCGTGTCGGAAGCGCCTTATGGTATCTTCCAATAAACTTCCAGGTATCTTGGTCTCCAGATCTCTGCAGCATAGAGCAGTGTTAACGAGACCATCGATTCAAAGAGGGTTGTTTTGGTTTCCCAAGATTCGCTTTTTCCATTTGTTAGGATTGTAATTACTTTAGGTCAATGCAACAGATGATCTTTGTAAGAAATGTTCCGTGGCTCTGTCGAATTTTCCAGAAGAAGTAAAGGGTACACCCAGATATGATATGTGTAGTTTCTGGAATACTTCAAACTTGTATCTCGCCATACTAAAGTCTTAAGATTCGCCATCTTTGGAGATTTGTGGAACACCAACACCTTAGACTTAGCTGGATTTAGGGTTAGATATTTTCTTTTACAGTACTCGCTCAGTATATTGATGTTTCTTTGTGCACCATGCTACGAATTATTGAGGAGGACAATATCATCCGCTAACAGAAGCATAACTACCTCATTGTCGTGGTCTATACTAATACCAACAGCTCCTCGGTCACGAAAGTACTCAACTATATCCGACACAAATAGAATAAACAATGCAGAACTAAGACTCTCTCATTGAAGCAGGTCCAGGCTGATACCAATCTCTTCTGAGAGCTCATGTTTTAACTGCATCCGTATCGATGAAGCATCATAGAGTTTTTTGAGAAGTTTTTTTCCCAAGAGAAAAAAGCCTATCCCATAGCAAGTTTTGGTTAATAGAGTCGAAAGCCTTCTTCAGATCCACAAACACTGCTTAAACATAGCTGCTTTTTGACCTCAAATTAATGTTAACAACTGACATTAATGTGAATATGTGGTCGATGCATCCCCTGCCCGTTCTAAAACCAGCCTGTTCCTCCGGTATTAATTTTTCTGATTCTGCCCATTTCATGATTCTGTTCCTCAGAATGCTAGTGAATAACTTTTCTAGAGTTTTAAGCAAGGATATGCCTCTGTAGTTGTTCGGATCCTTTTTATCATCTTTCTTATACAGAAGATGCAAGTTAGCTTTTTCCCACATTCCTGGAATTTGTTCAGAAATTAATATATTATTAAATAGATTTAATATATAGTGTTCCCAAGAAGGTTTGAGACATTTAACAACTTCATAAGTTATATTATCAGGCCACTCTTTTTTTTTACTGGCATCAATGTTGTATTGCAGTTCTTCCAATGATATATTGATATCGAGGAGTGGATGAGTTACGAAGAAAAAGTATGTTTCATGCAGAGTTAGATCTAATAGCTTTATTTAGATTTAATATAACAACAATAATCTACAATGTTTATAAATCATCCTTAGTTAATTGGACTGCGTCTTTAACGCAAATTGTGATTGTTTAAGGTCTAATGTCAGGAACTCTTTCTCTACTCCCCAATCCCTCATGGTTATTGAGCCCAAATATTTTAGGTAAATGCCAATAATTTGTTTATAAACCTGACGGTTGGGAAAAGATCGTAAAAAGGACGACTAATCGAGGTTACAGTACACCATTCAAAGAGGGACATTTACAAATGTATACCACGCAATTCTTTGAGTCGGAAGCAGAACAAATAATGATATATACATTTTTAGGACATACAACGGGCAAAAAAAGTGTTTGTACACCTCGTTTTCTGGATAAAATGGTTCACTATATTTTTTTAAGTTGAAATAACGGATCGTAATTGAAATAATCAATTGCAAACTTCATTTTGGGTTAATTTTATGAAATGCCAAAATTTAAAATGTGATGCAACTTTTGTAACATCAATATTTCGATAATTTGTACACAAAAAAGTATTCGTACACTAGAGCAAATATGTTGAAAAAATTAATAAAAAGATTTTTGGCTGAAACATATGAATGAATGAAAATAATTTTATTTTTCTGGAACTAGTGTCCCTTTAGAACAAGTCACAAATACAGAATATATATCAATATTTTGGTGTGCCCATGAAATACAATTTAATATTTACAGGTTGATTCGGAGTACAATAAAGTTATAAATGATAAAAAGATATAAATACGTGTAAATATAAAATATACAGAGAAAGTAATTAAGTGAACGAAATATCGATAAATTACAAAATAATCAGAGTATCTGGGTGATATTATATTGGGATATAGTGGGATTATAGTGGGATATTATATACTAGGATATTATCTGGTCCGAAATCTTTGGTTTGGGATTTACAGATGGATTTAAGGAGGTCGTCAGGGGTAATATACGATCAGGTTAAACTGTTTCAGGGTGGATATAGTACGGCGGGAAATTTGGGAGATGTGTGGTTTCCAGGAGGGGCTTTGATCGAGGGTAACGCCTAGGTTTTTAACGGTGGTATGGAAGGAGATAGGTGAGTTGTTCAGAAGAAAATTAGGAGGTGTTGAAATGGATTTGAGGAGTGAGGGGGATCCGATCAGGATGGCCTTTGTCTTCACCGTATTCAATGTCAGCTTATTAAGATTTGCCCATGCGCATATTCTATTGATGTCTTGTTGCAGTTTCAGGATAGCAGTTAGAGGAATCTGTCGGGTTGACGGAAAGATAAATTTGACGTCATCGGCGTATAGGTGATATTGTCAGTGTATGATAGAGAAAGGGAGGTCATTAATGTAGATGGAAAAGAGGGTGGGGGGATAATGAGGAACCTTGTTGGACGCCTCTGGACAGAGGTAGAGGCATTGATTGAGGGTTATTAGGAACTACAACGTACTGGGAGCGATTGGTGAGAAAGAATTGGAACCACTTAAGGGTACTGGATGATAAGGATATATTTTTAAGTTTGAATAGGAGGATATTATGGTCAACAAAGTCGAATGCTTTAGAGAAATCAATAAGGATCAGGATGGTGAGTTTCTGTTGATCTATGGCTGTGTGGAGATCTTGGGAGATTATAATGAGGGCGGAATGAGTGGAGAAGTCTGGTCTAAAACCAGACTGGAAGCAGTTCAAATGTTTATTTTGTTCAAGATATTGGGATAGTTGGGATTGTACTATTCGCTCCAAAGGTTTGGAAAGGTTAGACAATACGGAAATTGGACGGAAATCATTAGGGGTTGTGGGGTTAGAGATTTTGTTCAAAGGACGAACAAGAGCGGTTTTTCAGGTGCTGGAAAAAGTGGAACTTTGTAGTGAGAAATTATAGATATGATAAAGGACTGGGAAAATGGATGGAAGTGATTATTTAATTAATTTAACTAGGATATTATCTGGTCCGAAATCTTTGGTTTGGGATTTACAGATGGATTTAAGGAGGTCGTCAGGGGTAATATACGAAAAGAAAAAATGATTGGGATTAAAGGGGGGGTGTATGAGGGGTGGAGCTGGTACTTGGACAGAGGGATTGGATGAACAGGAGACAAAATGAGTGTTGAGTATGTCAGCTGAAATGGAGGTAGTCTGGATTTGGGTAGATTTGCCTAAGGATAATTTACGGAGGATTGCCCACATAGCTTTGGAGTTTGGTGTGCTGTATAAGGATTGTTGGTAGTGGTGGGATTTGGCATGGCGTACCATGGATTGCGTACTGTTTCGAAGCAGCTTGAAATTCATGTAGTCTTCGGGGAGTCGAGTGCGTTTAAACCTTCGTCTTGCTGCGTCTCTTCGTTTGATGCAATTTTTTATCACAGGCGTCAACCAAGGGGCTGGTGGTTACTTGATTGTCCTGATTTTAAGAGGAGTGTGACGGTCTAGGATAATGTGCAGTTGATTGGTTGAGTTTTCTACCATAAAGTCAACGGAGTTAGAAGAGTATATGGAGTCCCATTGGATTGCGTCAAGATCGGGCATCAAAGTTTCGGATGATAGGAGAATAAGGTTTCTGAAAGATATAGATCGGGGACTAAATAGAGGGACAGGAAGGTTATAGGAGGTCTGTATGAGATCGTGAGCAGACAAAAACGGAACCGGGTGCTGTGATGAGGCGAGGAGTTTATCAGGAGAGTCAATAATGCAAAGATCGAGCCAAGAGTCTGAGTATTGGGTGTGATGGGTAGGGGTGTACGGAACTATATACAGATTAAGAGAGTAGAGGAGGTTTGATAAATAGGCTTGGTCAGAGGAAGGAAATAATAGGTTGGTATTGAAATCTCCGAACAGAGCAATATTGGAATAGGAAGGGCTCAGTTCGTAGAGGATGGTCTCGAGTGTTTCATCAAAGGGGATTCTAGGAGGTCGGTAGACGGCACCAATGAGCAATGAATATGTGGAGGTGGATATTTCAGCAAAGAGATATTCGATATGTGGGGAGACGGAGAGAGGAGACAAAGCAAGGATTTTGGATTTCAGGCTGCCATGGACAAAAATGGCTAATCCGCCTCCGGTTCTATTTTCTCTTATGGTGTACAAATAGAACCGGTACAAATACTTTTTTTTGGCCTGTTTATAATGAAGGAATTAAATGTTAAACGAAAAAAAATTGATTTTGTCAAAACAGAGTTAAAGAGCATAAAATGCTTATGACATTTGTATAAGATAAAATCTGTTTATTTTATTTTATAATACTAAAAATTTATTTACAATTTCTTTTTCTCAAAATTTTTCTGTAAGCTTGAAATTTCAAAGTATTAATCCATTTGTTATCGTAAATGGATAACGATACATCTAATTAAATAGGTAGTAATTATAGTCCCATTATGAAAAAATATAATGGATAGTCCCCTCCCCCCCTGTTATTCTGTACAACGTGTCACTCAGTTACATTATATGAAAGGAATAGTTTAAATTTAATGAATATTTATAACATATAATTTTTAATATATGTTTTTAAAACACAGGAGAAATTTTCCTTAATACTTAGGTTGATATTTTAAATTTACACTTTTTAATTATAAATATTTTAAAGTATATATTGATCATATATGGATAAAATGATACGCTCTTTTCTGAATTTGACTTCTACATGAAATAATTACACGTTTAGATTAATTTTTGTCATAAATATCAATGTTATCTATTCAAATATTTTGTATAGGGAATGGCGCCCAAAAATTGACTGATTGGGAGTCTGTAAGTTTGTAAACAGATTAACGGTCTGGACGGTTGCCCTTTGAACGTATTGTTTTCATTTGCTTTTGATTGATTATATATATTATCTAGCATTATGTAAGTAAATAGGGAAGTGTTATTCTATGCTAATTATTTACCAAATTATGTGATGTTATGATTCAGGTTAATTTTCAATCGTCTGTATGTGCATTATTTCAGGGTTGAGAAGAAGAAAAAGCGTGCAAGAAAATCAAATGAAAAAGGAAAAGAGAATGGCAGACCAGAAGAAAAGCCAGTTTCTGACTCTGAAGATTCTGATGTAGATGATCAGGAGGGAGGAACAAGAGTAGCTGGAATATATTTTCCTCCTCCACCAGTACAAGATGTTTGTATCGCAGATGAAAATAGTGGCCCCAGATTGATTATTACACATATTGTCAATTATAATTTCAAAAGTTATGCTGGTCGTCAAGTTTTAGGACCTTTTCATAAGGTGAGTAGTTGTTAATTAAGATAATTTAATTACTTCAGTTTATTATTGAATGTTTCATACTTCAGTTATGGTTTATAATTTTTATAATGGGTATGAGTAATAATTATTCAGTAAGGGAGTTTATATCTTACACATTGTTTTTGATAAGTTTATCAATTTAAAATAACGGTAATTGTATGAATATTCTTGGTTTCAGTAGAATAATACAGAAATGATTAATCATGTATTAAAAATCTTACAATTCTAGACTGGTATATAGGTTAATATACATATAATTAATGCTGTAACATTCCTGAAATAAGTCAAGTGTTTGACAGTAGACCTATCTTTTATAGTATTCTATAAAACTTTATATTTTTTTATAAAGATTTTATATTTTCTATAATCTCTTTAAGAGTCCAATTTTTCTTGCTTAGAAAATGCATTGAGGACATCTGTCGTATTTTAATATGATTATTGTTACTTGGTTACTTTCGACATTCCCCAAAATTTCTTCTAGAGTGTGCTAAAAGTGTTCTTCAGAACCCGCCACTGTCTGAGAGTAGCTGTTCTGAAAACCTGTTAAAATACTACTATTGGTTAATTTCTAAGCCAATTTTATATATAGACTGATTTGTTTATATAACATAATTTATATAAAAATTACATCCAATAATTCGAAAATTATATTTAATAATTTAGTTTGTTAATAAATAATTATTCTTAACCAGTGTTTACATAAAGAGATGATCTGACTTAAATTATGTTCACCAGACATTTCTCCCAACTAAAATAGAATCTTTAACTAAGCCATTGTCTTAATTTATTTTATTTTTTAGAGTTTTACCAGCATCATTGGTCCTAATGGAAGTGGTAAAAGTAATGTCATTGATTCAATGTTGTTCGTTTTTGGGTACAGAGCTACCAAAATTCGTTCCAAGAAAATATCTGTGCTGCTGCATAAATCAGAAAATCATCAGAATGTCCGAAGTGCTACCGTTGAAGTGCATTTTGTTCAAGTTCTTGATAAGGTCAGTTTTATGTATAATTAAAAATGTTTATTCAGTTATTATGTTTTTTGGTTCTGATAGTACCAGTACCAGTATCATTTAGCTTATTGGATATTTTGATATCAATAATTTGATTTTGCTTATCTAGAACCTCACAGCATAATATTGATCATGGTACACTAGAATGGCCAATCTCTTATTTCACTCATGTATTTCTGAGTTTATTACAGTTATTTCTGAGTTATTCATGTTATATGATGTTCATAGTTTATTTTATTGTATATTGAATTTTGGATCATTTAGTTTCTTGGTGTAATGTAAATAAAAATAAATTTACTTCTGATTAAAAAATAAGATTAGTTTTTCTTGCACAATGACAGTTGATATATAAGTTTTTTTTTTCTCTCTTAGGCTGCTCTTAAATTATTAAATATATTTAATAATAACACTGATTGCACTGGACAACAAAAAACAATTTTTTTAATGTTTTCAGCACTTCATGAGTCTATTCTTACTAATTTTGGTTTGAGAAAAACGAATATGACAATGAAAAATTTTTCTTAGCACTAACTTCTGTGATATACACGAGGTGGAAGTATTTCATATTAACAGGTTAAGAGAAAAAGATACATTATAATTATACATGCTAACAACATTGAAAGTGCATTTGATTTTTCAAAATGGTAGTTGCATTCTAAGGGTTCTAAATTGCTGGAAGAATACCTCGCAGATGGTTGTGTCTGAAGAGATTATGTGGTGGCTTCATTTCGTGAGATCATTGTCTTTTAGCTTGCCTCTTGTAAGGCGAGTTCTGTGTCATCTCTACACAAAGAACAATAGTAATCCGCAAGCATTGCTTCATTTCAATGGCTCTGAAATCTTTGTTCCATAACAGAAATGTTCTGATGGAATCTTTCTCCATGTTAATCGCTAACAGCTCCACAACTAGAAGAGAAAAAGTCTAGGTGGGAGAGGAGTAAGTGGATTTTAAGGAATATGTTGCATCCATGGTTATGGTACTTTTGCAGGAACACTGTTACCAAATATGTGTCATTTTTCTCGCTAGAGTTAAGATTTCTTTCAGGCCAGTTTCCTTTAATATAATATAATACAATTTCCTATCTCTACTGTTCCACATACATAGCATAAGAAGCAGCGATGTTTTATGTACCCCAGTTGCATTCCTAAGAGTATGGCAATGACTTTTAGCACTGACTTTCCATTTGTGTTCATGATATTTGAGTGAGTGCAAGAGGGCTGTCATATTTGCATATGTCTCCTTCATGTGAACTGCATGACCAACAGAAATAGAAGAAAGAAGATTGCCATTATGAAATAACACAGTTTTTAAACTAATCTTGGAGAAGTCTACGAATAGCCTCCATTCAGTTGGACCATGGTTCAAAGTCAAAGATCCAGCCATTAATGTCGCAGCAAACAGCAAGATTATATTTCTTCTCAAAAAAGGGAAGCAGTTCCCTATGACGTTTTCTGTTCTGTGAGATTCTGACATCACTTTTGAGAAGATTCATTCCATTGCTGTAGCCGAGACCCAAGAATTTCTCCCTTCTCTTTTGACAGATCAAAGTCTCTAATAACATCACTCAATTCACTAATAAAAAAATTAATATTTATTTCCTTTATTTTGTTCGGAAGTTGGACCATATCATAAAAAAATAGGAAATTTTAATAATGAATGCATTTCCATATGTGCTTGTTTCAGGTGAAAATTTTCTAATATAAAATAAGGCTTTGTTTATTTTTTCACCATATTTATTTTAATTTTCATAGCTACGTTTTGGCCGGTAAGCCATTTTCAAGCCATTTTATCCAACCATGCTTTTTGCATGTAGTCCAAAGTCTAATAATATATTATAATATTATTATTATTTTATAAATTTGAATGCATTATTCTCTCTGCACAAAGAAAGATGGAAAGGACGAAGCTATAAGTTCTTCTAGGTAGCAGGAACTGATTGTCAGGATTTGGTCTTAAAATGAGGGAAAACGCGAAAAATACACCAAGCGAACGAGAAAGGAAGTGCCAAAATCTCGGAAAAAGAAAACAAGGATCGGTATTCATTATATGGCTAAACGAATGTATAATAGACAGATGAATAGAATATTTCATCGATAGTGCTAAAAGGAAGATTTCGGCACTTCCTTTCTTGTTCGCTTAATGTATTTTAAAAATTTTTGGGTTCAGTTTTGTGTTTTCCTTCATTTTGAGACCAAATCCTAACAATCAGTTCCAGTTACCTAGAAGAACATATAGCCTTGCCTTTTCCATCTTTCTTTGTGCACCCAGAATAATGCATTCAATATTAAAATTTCCTATTTTTTTATGATATGGTCCAACTTCCGAACAGAATAAAGGAAATAAAAATTAATTTTTTTATTAGTGATAATAAGTTTTACTACTATTCATTATATGTTGTTCAGATTAGGTTTATATTATTTTAGTTTATAAAACAGGTATTAATATGACTCATTTCCTGGGAAATATATACAATCTAAATTACCTCTAGAATCAGTAAATATACAAAACAGTGTTAAATTGCAAACGTTAAATAAAACATTCAAGATATTCAATGAAGTATTTTTGAATTAAGTTTTATTATTATAATTATATCATTTTTACAATAGAGGTCTTCTTAAATGATCTCCGTATAGAATAAAGCAGGTTAAATTAAAAAAAAAAAAAAAAATTAAAAAAAAATTGTTTAATTTTTTATGTACTAAAATAAATAATGTACCAAAAATATTATTATAGTACAATAACTAAGCCATTTATGAGTACTGAATGGTGTGGTAGAGGCCTGTAGGCACCTACGCCAGTACCGCTTTTCTGCCGTTTAAGTGCATTTTCTAAGGAACTGTTTCAAATATTTTAAAAAGTAATCAATGTTTTAGAAAGAGAACTATATTCTCCAGATGTTTTATTTCAGCACGTTTTGCGTTATTGCTGACCATTTAATTACAAATGACGCTTGATTTTCAGCATGAAAATTTTTTTGTTAAAAAAATTTATTTTATTGGTGGTTTTTATTGCTTAGGCCAATTATTTTTTCATGTTTTATTATTTTCTTACTATTCAGCTTTAATGAAAGACCAACTATGATGAAATTAAACCAAATGCTGTTTCTCAGTGACCTAAAAACTAATTAAAGTCAAAGTCGTCAATCCGCCCTGTTTAGACGTCATTTTGGGGCAGTGCTTTCACTTTTTTGTGGGAACATTAGCTTTTCTTTAATAAATAATTACAAGGGACACGATATGCAATTTATAGGGATGTGGAGAGGGGGGGGGGAGCAGGGGGCTCTGGCCCACAGACCACATCACTTTTCATGGCAAAACCTACAGTAATGGCTTGATGACAGGTTCACCACAAAACATCAATAGTTTTTCTGACTTGTCATTCATAAATTGCTTGAGAGATGGGGTAGGTATAGCTAACGATGGACAATGTTTTGTATAAAATATTTGTCAACTTTTTTCAGGCAACATATACGTATTTTCTTTCAGAAAATTCTTGTTTCATATTTACTCACCCTGTAAGTACGATTATTTATCTTCATTCTGATTTTAAGAGCTTTATTGAGAACGACCTTTGCCCTCTATCATCACTGATACAATGATCAGTGCAAATACTCTATCAGAACAAATACAAGTTTCTTGGCAAAAATTGACAAATCTCAGTTTAGTCACACCCCCAACTTCAACATTGTAAAATCACTTAGGGCTTGTTGAATTAAAATGAAAATATGTTCCAATCGGAAGATTAGTCACTACATAATTATTTTTATAGAAATCATAAAATATAATTTTACTCAGGGAACCTCGCCTTAACATCCTTGTTTTTCAAGTTAAATAGAATATTTAATAATAAAACAGAATTTCGTAAAACTTCACTCCATTTGGGCATTGCCCAAGTTATCATACATTTCGTGACATCCTCTACTTTGAAGTACCACTGCATTTATAACTCAAGTTATTTTTTATAAACATGATTGATTAAAATTCAATAAATCCATCAGCATTCCAAAAAGTCTTTCAAAATTCAGCAGATAATTCCAAACGTTTCTTCAGAACATTTGTTAAATAAGATAAAATATTTAGTGATGGGTGATGATTCTTAATTCACAGTTTTCCCAATCAAAATAAACATTGTCATATCTCGAAAAGAGTTTGTCTCATAGTAGAAGGTTTAAATTCTGGAATAGTTAGGTATTTGTTGTTTGAAGAATATGGTTTTAATTTTAGGTAACTGATTATTGACACACTTTTTTTTATAAATGGTTTTAATAAAAAAATTTACCACTGCGACCCATGAAGTGCCTTGGGTTCATTACTTTGTAATGAAGTACTGTTTTAAGACCAGTAGTTGTGCAGGGAGATGATTGGGCCGGGATCATGTCCAACTGCCAGGTTTTCCTTTTTAATTAATTATTTAATTAAGAGTACTCACTTTATAGAATCTCAGTGTGCCCCAGGAAGGTCTCCTGACCTCAGTATCGATCGACAACCGATGAAACATAATAAATAATTATCTGGTGTCTGCCGAATTTGACCCTAGTACCTTGAACTTTAGAAGTCAGTGCACATGGCTTTAATATCTTAGACCAATTTCCATGAAATTTATATTTTTATTTTTCTCATTCTCAGTGTAATTTAGGTTTATATTGGATGAGGATATTACTCCAGAATACTGACTCTCCTTACCAGAAACGAACAAGTCATTATTAAGAATCGCTACTGGCTGCTTCATCATGGTTTTGATATACAAATATTTTGATGTGTTGTTAAGAAAAAATGTCATTCCTAACCATTGCAGTAACTTTCACATTGCATCGAGCGTTCTTTATTATTTATTATGTGCTACTAGTATCAACCTGATACTGTTTTAATTTTTAAGCTAATAATAGATTATATTTGTAATAAAGAAATAAATGTCCTTGTATTATTTTTTTATCCTCCACTCTGAAAGGACCTAAGGAGGAGGATAAAGAAGTGCTGTTTTTGTTAAACTGTATATTATTTTCTTTCCTTGTTTTGCTATAGGGAGGAGAGGATTTTGAAATACTTCCGCACACCAAAGTGTATGTTTCTCGTACTGCTTGTCATGATAACACTTCTTATTATACCATCAATGGTAAAAAGGTGCAATTTAAAGAAGTTGCTGCTTTACTTGGAAAGCATGGTATTGATCTGAAACATAATAGATTTTTAATTCTTCAGGTGAGAATATAAAATTATCAAAACATGTATCAGACTATAAATAAGACAAAATAAAATATGATGTTTTTTAAATTTTAGTTTTAGTTATATTCATTTAAAATCTTAAATGACTTATATAACTTAGAAACTATTAAAACTTAAGCTTATATATTTCTTTATTTTGTCGTAGTGAACTTGTTATAAATATTTTTAAATTCTGTGAGATTTTTATTGTATTTCATCTTTTTTTTTTACTTCCTTATTTCGGAATGAGAAAGGAGTTTTATTTAAGATAAGGAAATACGACTAACAGAATCATGTAATCATCCTGTAAATAATCATGAAAAATAAAACTTTTTTTATAATTGTTTTAGAGATGCTTAGCAACTTTTTTTAAATTAATAAAAAATATATTTTGTATTCTATTGCTCTCATGAAAATGGTTATTATCCATTAGGGAGAGGTGGAACAGATAGCTATGATGAAACCAAAAGGTCCAAATGAACACGAATCTGGTATGTTGGAGTATTTAGAAGACATCATTGGTACATCCCGGCTAAAGGTAGGTAACTGAACTCAGGATAATCTTTTTCTTGAATTTACTTAACATTTATAAAATATAATATGTATAAAATTTAGTAATTATAAATGATAATAATATTAAATTCATATATTTTTTAATTCATAGAAACCATTAGAAAAGCTTGATGCGAAAGTGCTTGCCCTTTGTGAAGAAAGACAAGAAAAATTAAATAGAGTAAAACTTGCTGAAAAGGACAAAGAAGCTTTTAGAGGCCCGATGGAGAGTGCTTTAGAATATTTAAGACAAGTCAATTCAAGAACAAAGTTGCATAACAAACTCTTCCATTGCAAAAAGTAAGTCTATATCTTGGAAGTTTTTATTGTAAAGTATTTGAATCTAGTTTAATTTAGAGGTTAAATGTTCATTATCATATTGACTCAGTGTTATAAAAAAGCATAACATTAGTTGAGTATCAATATAATTCCAAAGATTAGGCAATGCTTTGAGTGACATGTTTTTACTTAGTTATATATTTACTATTATGTTATAAGTCCCTGTTATATATTTACTATTATGTTTATCGAGCAATGGTTTCAATCTGTTTTTCTTTGCTTTGTGAATTATTTTTGGCTTTTTGTTGATTTATGTTTCACAGTTTTCTAATTTGCATTGATACTTTTAATAGTTATAATACTGTTGATTCTAAGTCATTTTAATATTAACAAAGGAAGGCTTCAATCAGTGGATCAACAATTTCGACCAATTTTTTTTTTTTTGGTGATACTACATCAAAAAATATTGGACACAGGATATATGTGCAATATTTTTTGATGTATCACCAAAAAAAATTGGTTGAAATCGGTGACCCACTGACTGTAGCCTCTCCTTGTACATTAATTACTGCTGCATTGGATAGGGAAAGAAGTATAGTGACTTTGCTAAATTATATATTTTGAAATTTTGGAGGAATCTTTATTCCTGAAAAATGGTTCTTTATAAAATTGTTTCTTTAGTCTATAGTTTTTGATTTTTTTTTTCCATATTTTTATTTATGATAAACAAACAAAAGAACCATTTATTATTTTTTTTATATGTTCCATGCTTAAAGGCACACTGCAGATATTATTTATTTTATTATATAAAACATAATATTATATTGCATAATTAAACTTTTTAATTACCTTCAGTTTTGAGAAACCTATCTTTTTCATTATTAATAATTATGCTTGTATTAAATATAACTACTCTCGTAGATTCCAACATCAAAAGGAATTGGATAAACTAAAAGAGAGCAAAGAAAGTGTTAATACAGAAATTGCTGATAAGAAAGCCAGTATCAAGTCAACTCAACAGGAAATAGCTGACTCAGAAAAACAAATGGTTTTAAGAAAAAAGTAAGTTTTATAAAAATATATAATGTAATATATCTAGTTGGCTCTTGGCTCTTCATGGCCTGATTTCTTATTATTATTTAATTAATTAATAATTATTTCATTACAGAGAACTAGAAAGTCTGCGCGCAAAGAATGAGAAATTGAAGGAATCATTTAATAAAGTTGAAAAACGTGCAACTCAGCTTAAAGAAGAAATTGCTCAGAAAAACAGATTAAGGAAAAAAGCCTTAGAAAATAAGAAACAGGAAGAAAATAAGGTTAATTTGCATATTTAACTGCTTTAAACCAATTAATGTGATAGTAATTGAATTTCAATTATTTAATTATATTTTTCCTTTAATTGTTCCCACAGGTCATTATTACAAAAAATAAATCCTATTAGTGTTCAAAATCTTTTATTTGAAAACAATTTTTTGCTTAGTTTTTATTGTTTTTTTAATGATAAAAAAATATAGCTAAGTAATCTGGTGGACAAAATCGAATATAATGAAGGTTCATAGTAAATTAATTTATTTGTTAGTAAAAAAATCAATGCATCATTTCTTAACGTTTTAGGACCTTTTTCCCCTTCTTCACATCAAAATAATTGAGGGTCATATCAAAAGTTTATTTATATCCATCTATGAGAAATTACAGTATAAAATTTTGTTATTGGGCATATGTAGATAAGTAATTTTTTTATTATTATAAATATTGATTCCTAACCCATATTTGACAATGCAAGTTTTAAGTTATGGATTAAACTAAATAATTTTTAGATTTAGAATTTTCATTTGTTTAACAATTCTTTATTTATGAGAAGTGAATACATTAACTTTTGATAAATGCTCTTCAATCCTGAAATATCGATTACATATCAATATATCCACAATTACATTTACATTCACAGATTGATGCTTATTTATATTTTAATTAATTTTTTCTCATAGCTTGCTGAACTTGAAAAACTTCCTGAGAAAAATGGAAAGGAAATTGAGGAACTGAAAGTTGTTGAGGTGAAACTGCGGAAAGAAAGAGATGTAGAAGAGGCAGAAGTACAGAAAATCTTGGGAAGCATCAAAGAAGAAACAAAAGAACTACAGGAAACAAAAGATGGATTGAGCAATACTTTGATAGGTTTGAACAAAATAAAAGATGAAGCTAAATCCAAGGTATGTTTTGTGGTTTTAAGTTCTTGTTTCTGATTTACCATAATTGAGCAGAATTCAATTTATATTCTTTATTCCAGTACGAAATAGCTAAGACTGAGCTGAAATTGTATTTGAATAATGAAAAAAAAGAGAAAGAAAAGTTACAAAAACTAAAAGAGACTTTAGATAGTGTAGTTTCTGAGCTGGAAAGTAAAAATCAGTAAGTAGATTGTTTCTTAATTGTTTGCTAATGAAAACCTCTCACTTCAAGTAATTAATTTAATTTTGTTTTAGTTCTCAGGATTTTAATTATTCATCAATTTTATACTTTTAGGGATTTTGAGAGGTTACAAAATAGTGTTCCAACATTAGAAAAAAATCTAAAAATTAAACAGCAACAGTTGCAAGACATTAAAGTTGAAGAAAATCATTTACTTAAAGAATTGCATCAGCAGCGTGCCATGATGGAAGAAAAGAAACACTCCCTCAATATGTCCCAAAGTCGTAATAAAGTTCTTGATTTCTTGATGAGACAAAAAGAGGAAGGACGACTTCCAGGCATATTTGGCAGGCTGGTGAGTTATTTATTTTATTTTGTGAAAACTTTTTTAATTTAATGTGTGCCTTAACATTAATTAAATAAATTTAAAATTATTACTTAATAATGTTTTTACTTGAGTACTGTTAGTTCTCATTTCTTTTGATTCCTAAAACAATTTGAAAATATTTCGCCTCAGCAGTAAGTTGCTAGCGAAGGTACCTGTGATCCTAAGGAATACAATTTTATAAAATAATATCCTATTTAACAAATTAATTTTCCTGTGTCTGCTTTTACTTTCACGTGCACCCGAGCTCTCCCAAAAGATTAGAACAGGCTTCCATTCGTAACATGAGCTTAATATGATACGGACTCCGACAATATTATTTGCACATAAACAATAGAAGGGTTATGAATGTAGATATGGAGGAGGAATGCCGAATTTTGACAGGAAGGGAATTCCAGAAATCAACAGAGCGAGCAATAAAGGAGTTTTAGTATGAGGCAGATCTGTGAGAAGAGAGTAAAGATCAGAAGGTCGAGATCTTGTGGAAAGGGAATGGATTGAGGACTTGAATTGAAGAAGGTTGTAGGCGTAAGAAGGACGATTGTTGATGATTTGATAGAGGAACGTACCTAGGAAATATTGTCTTCGGAAGGAAGAAAGAGCCACCTTACCTCAGTGTAGTGGTGAGAGACATGGGAGTATCTCGGGGCACCAATTACTAATCTAACGCAACTGCTCATTAATGTTTTCTGTTTTTTCATGGTATTACATCCGTCAAAAGGCCATCATACACCACACAGCTGTAGTCAATGTTGGGGAAGATGAGAGAGGAAACCAGGAGTCTACATGTATGTTGATGTAGGAGATTGCGGAAGCGATGGAATTGTTTGAGGGTAGAAATTGTTCGTCGGGAAATGTGAGAAATATGATGATTCCAGGAGAGGGTTTGATCAATGAAAAATCCTAAATTTTTAACAGACGAGTGTAAATAACCTGTTAAAGGTTAATTGTTAATGACCATTTTTGGCAGGCATTGTAAATAGCCTTCTGTTTCGTTGGGGGACTTGGTTATTGACACTTGTGATTTAATTTTCTTATAACAAAACCAGCACTGGATATAGACTTTTTGAGGGTGTTTGACTGCCGTTGGGAATTCGGGAACTTAATACTTCTGTGACACTGAGTGACAAGAAATAATAAGAATATTTATATATATGAAATGTGGGACTGAATAAACACTTTGAATGAATTGACTCATGAACATGACATGTGATTAGGGAACTAGACATGGAAAGGAATATAGATTGTATCGTTACTGAAAAAATGTAATGAAATGCTCAATGAAAGGGTGTCTTGTAAATATAGAATGTATAAAGTGTTTTGCACATAGCCTGCAGTATCAATTAGGTTTATTAATAGGCTAAAATTAATATTTCTTATACACTTTGTATTCTTTTTTTAATTTCTAATAAGTGGCAGACACTTCCAAGTGTGTCCACTCTGGACAAATGCTTAGGTTCCCCAGCCCTGAGGCTAGAACTGCTTACCATGGAACTAGACAAAGCAAAGAAGAGAAAGAGAGTGGTAAGTGAGAATATAATATTGAATGACCTTCAAAACAATCTAAACCTCCTGGCAACTGCAAAATGAGCTTGATTAGAAAAAAGCTACAATACTGCCGAATTCCAGATAGTGTGACACAGATAATTGATTGAATTAATTGAAAAATTTAACACCATTAGAAAAAAGAACTCTAGTTTCATTTAAAAAACAATGAATCTTCGAAATCACTAAAAGCTCTGAAATGAAGTGTCGAATCTACACATCAGCAGGTTTTGAGCTGCTTACCAAGGTTTGCCTAGAACTTACCAAGCATTTGTGAATCAAACCATGTCCATATGAAGTTAAGTTCGTTAAAAATGAAACTTTCATAGACCGCTCCAAAATGTGACGCATTGCACTCTGTTCGAATCGCCTCCACAGTGAGAGACAAATAAAGTCAATAACCGGTGTGATCAAATATTCGCTTTCCAGTCAAAGGTTTTACAAATTTTTATTTGTAGTATCGTTTCTCAACATTTTGGAAACTGACTTAGTTCCTGGCATGATTTGATCATTATTAACAAAGTTATGGGTGTTACTGCAATAAATTTCATCACTTTTACCTGACTAATATCTTTTTTTCAAAGTAACTAAACAGCTATAAGTTAAAAGTAATGCCTCTAAAAGATTATTTGGTAGAAATACAATAATAAAAGTTGCATAAAATTTTACATCTTTATCTTAGGCCTGCGAAAAAAATTGAACTGAAAATATAATGCTCATAGAACAAAAATTTTGCAGTTTTTTTGTCGCCTAAAAATTCTTAGTTTTTGTTCTTTCAGGCTTTTGCAGTGTGGCTGCCGGTATGGTAATAATAGTTTTAAATAAGGTTTCATACCGTTTATAATTTTTACTTTTACTACCCTTTGTCTGAAAATACTTATTTCTGCTAAGAGGGTGGTAAGTAAAAGTTGTGTGATGTGCGCCCTATCATCATACCTATCATCATAAAATCATACCTTACCAGATTTTTTGAAATCAACATTAGATCATGTTGCATGATCCAAATGAAAGCTCAAAAAAATAAGGAACAATTGACGGAGTTTTTGTTAGAGATTTAGCTAATAGATCAATATCTATAGCAATAGCAAATCAATCAAAAGTATTCATTGCATATTTTAGTTGTCATACACCTATTGCTTCATTTTTAGAGTATGATACTATTGACAGATCAATCAGAGCTAAGTTTACCAGTGTAATTTATACACAATTATAATTTCATATATTGTTATGTTACACTTTATGTTAGGTATAAATGTTATTGCTTTGTGAATATAAACAATTGTTTATATACAATTATAATTATGTATATTGTAAATGTTATTACTTCAGAATTCAGATAAAAAAAAAAATTATATTTCATTTTATTAACCAAACCTTGTTGATGTTTTCACTTCTGTCATCTTGGTCTAGGCACACACAGTATTTTTCAAAATTTTACTTACAAGTCTGTTTTACAATAATACTTCATACTTTTATTTTTCAGGGTGATTTGGGAGGTATCGATGTAAAGTATGATTGTGCTGTTAGTACAGCTGGTGGATTTCTTGACCATATTTTAGTAGACACAGTGACTACGGCAAAGGCTTGTGTTAATGCTTTAAAGTCCTCTGGAGTTGGTCGGGGAAACTTCATGGCACTTGATCAAGTGAGCAAAACCCAGTATCAAGAACATGTCAAAACGTGAGTTTTATTTATTCTATCCAATAGCATATTGCATTAAAATTACGGGGTCTTGCTAAATATAATTTTTTTGTATGTTTTTTTGTTTAATTTAATGGCTTTAATATTTTCTTTTTCTTTCATTAGGCCTGAAAATGTGCCTCGTTTGTTCGACTTGATTAAAGTTGAAGATCCAAGGGTAAAGCCAGCTTTTTACTTTTGCTTTAGAGAGTGCCTTGTTGCCAATGATCTAACCCAAGCAAGGAGAGTAGCATATGGTGCCCGTAGGTACAGGGTGGTCACTCTTAATGGAGAGATTATTGAGATTGCAGGTGAGTGATTATTAAATAAGTAAAGATATATAATAAGTAAAGTGTATATGTACTTCTTTAAAATCAGTTCATATTATAAATAATATTTTTAAGGTACAATGTCTGGGGGTGGCCGAGATAAAAGAACTGGGCGAATGGGTAGGTCAGCAGTGGTTAAGACTGATGGGCCTAGTCCAGGAACAATGGGCAAACTTGAAGAGCGAGTGAGGGGGCTTCAGCAAAAAGTTGAGTCGTTACACAAACAGATGAATCAGCTTGAAGAAGAAACCAGCTCTATCTCAAGGGAACTTAAAGTATCAAAGATGGACTTAGCCAGTTCATCAATGGTAGTTAAGGTTAGTAACTGAATAGAATTTCATACTTTTACGGTAAGTTTGTTTGATTTTTGATGCCATTGTAAACGTGTTCAAGTTAGAATGCAGCTTTGAAAGTGTTAATAAAATTTAGTTTTATTCACTTTATGAAACAATTTGAGCAGTCATTGTGTTTAATCGTTTAATTATAGGCCAATCCTTCAATGTCAATCATTATTCATTTTAAAATTTATCAAGGATTATCTTTTTTAAAACCTTGGTTATTTTCCAAATAGCTGATTAAGATGATGCAGTATAAAAGCCTTGGTACTTTTTGTCTAAGCGGCCGTTTTGAAACCTCACTTCTTATCTACCGTCATGTCGCCATGTCACATAACCTCCCTCTTCTTATCCCGCCAAACTTTTGAGTTATTTTATCGTAATTTACTTTTGAGTAATTTTATCGTCAAAATAATTGACAGAAAGGCAACAACATTATTACAAGCCATTAAAGAAAATATAGAAGAGGGAACGACCATTTATTCGGACTGTTGGAAAGGATACAACACCCGACAACTGAACGAAGCTCTTAACTTAAAATAATTTGTATAATCTTTTAAATTTGTTTTTTTTAATTTCATTTTGATGTTTTATATGTACATATCTTCTTAAAGTGTTTTTTTATTATTTCATTAATATATTTGTCGTCAAATAAAAGTATTTTTGTTGTTATTACATTTGTTTTTGTATCTGTTTACACTTTCAATAATACGAATTTAATACAATAATACGAAGATGTGAAGTAGGAGAAGGCTTATCACTGCGTTATGGGAGTTATCAGTGTTCAGGTTATAAACATTGGCAGATAGCAGTCAGTAGCGGCCGCTTAGACAAAAAGTACCAAAGCCTTTTACTAGCTTATTTTCTTTTGGACTCAAAAATGTCAACTCAGTTCAATGTTTTATGTTTCAGATATCAAAGTTTTTAATATTTTGAAATTATAATTTATAATTAAATCTTTAAAATATTATATGATCTTATTAAGTATTAAATTTTTAAATCATCATGGAAAAGATGCTTTGAACCAAAAAAAAGAAAAAGATATTAGCTAAAAATTTCATATTTATTAAATTTCAGAATCTGAGGCAACAGGAACCTTCTTTGAGAAGCCAAGTGCAAAATCAAGAAAGTGTTGTGGAGTCCACGGTGTCTGATCCAGAAATAGTCCAAAAGAAAAATGATGATATTGTAAAATTGGAGAAAGGTACGTTTTTTGCCCTTTCCTCTTTAGGAATCCTTTCTGCCATTTAAATAATTATATATTACGGTATCGCCTACTTCAGATTAGTGGTGAGAAAATTTATTTATTGTTATTTTATTTTTGTAGATTTTGAAGAAGCTTCAGCTAATTCAGAAGAACTTGAAAAGAAAGTTGCAGCAATTACTTCTAAAATTAATGCATTGACTGGTGGTCGAATCCAGACTGCCCAGCAAAAACTTGACAAAGTTAGCAAACAGCTTGACAAGGTTACTACCGAAATAACTAAACTGACAGTCGCAATAAAAACTGCAGGAAGGTAATATTTTTGTATATTTTGTACAGATGTATATACAGATGTATATCTGTTATTTTAATGAGTTTATTATTGTTACATTTTTTTATTTAATATTATAATCCCACATGTAGGGAAAGAGGCGATATCAGAATTAATTGCAATCCTTCTTCTCTATTATAATTTGCTGATTCTAATGTTAAAATATTGGAGTTAAGTTGGAGGTCACCTTGGCGATGCTTTCTCACATATATGTTCATAGGCCGGGCCCGGTGACCGTCACCAGTGAAGTTGGCTCTATGTGCTAGGTCTTCAATTAGAAGATGTTACAATAGAAATGACCTTTTAACAATTATCATTGAACTATATGCCATTACGCCTGGACGAGAATTGAGGCTAAATGTTTATAGCTGACTCTTTTTTTTCTAACAAATGATGGTCATCCGCAAATATTGCACCAATAAATATTGCAACAAATCCCTTTACTTGAAAACCTTGTTATTTCTATCCATCATATACTCTGGATTAACATTATGTATTTTTTTAAAATACAAACATTAAAATGTAATTCTGACTTTGACACATTCTGACCACATTATAATGGTTTTATAATGTTTTTGTTGTGCAAGTCACTTTCTCCAGCTTTGTCGATATCGGCCAACAATCTTCTATTAACAAAAAGAAACATCTTAGTTTTTTCTGACAGATTTTTGAGCCATAGGGAAATATCATTTCATAAATTACAAAAGAAAAAAAGAAATTCCAGATTGTTTCAAGAGATGAACACACATGCTTAAACGTACATATCATAAGATAGTTTACTATTCAATGTATACATATAAATAAATGCACCCATTGCAGGGTTACTTTACAGTTAGTTACTTACAGTGAAACAATAAATACTAATGACTAATTCTTTATTTATGATTTTCTTTTAGATTTCTAAATAGATATAAAATTTAATATACTAATTATTCATTATATAATAATTTGTATGTTATGAGTAAAAAGATGTTTCAAGCTATTTTATTTTATGATATACATCAAAACTTGGTGGATTAAATGAATTTATTTTGATTATTTTGAATGAGTATAATTAAAATCAACTTACTAAATCCATTCTATAGACTACAAACAGGCGTTCTTCCTGTCGTAACTAGGAATTGTCAAAATTGATGCATGGGGCGACCATGGGTTGTTTCATATTTTTATCTATTTCACATAATTTTATTACTTAAATATTGGAATAAGTAATACTAAATGAAGGTTGTATCTTCTTTCCATTTTGGCGATGGTTGTGTCTATTCATCCTAATAAATTTTAATTAATGAGATTAATTATTGTGATAGAGAAATTCTCTTTGATCTATTAAATTTTTTGTAATTCCAGATGATACTGTTATACTTCATGCTGATATTTTATTTAATGTATTTCTGATTTAGGAACTCGAAGAAAGCAAGCGAGCGCCTACAAGCCCTAATTAATCAAATAAATGAATCTGAAGAAGCTATAAGAAAAGCTCAAGAAGAAAATCAGGCTCTTGATGAAGAAGGAGTAAAGTTGAATGAAGAAACGAAGACTGTGACCGTAAGTAATTCATTAAAGACGTAATCTCTTTCAGGCAGTTTGTCTGCTTGTGCTACTGCTACATAATATAAAGGTTTAAAAAACATTGAGTGCCTATATGCCGTGGCAGAGATATTTTGGCCAAATGCGGGCGGGCCCTATTCCTTTTAAGAACTATAATTAATATTTTTAACTAATTAATAAAATCAATAATTTCAAGGAAGTAACATATTAAAACCTTTCACTTCCTCTCAATGCTTCACTTCATTTTATTTATAACGTTTCAGGCCAACTTTGCCCATTTTCAAGTTGAACTACACTGACAGGCAAAAAATTCCACCCACTTGATTTTTTCATGTTTTCATCTAAAAATATTTCTGCTTTGGATTGGTCTATTGTTTTTAATGAATAAATAGGTAATCTTTTTGTTTGTTTTCAATTAGGAATGTTAATATAGAGGACAATAACCCTTAATCCTTAATTCAATGAAATGATTCTAGATTCCAATGTTTACTTTCTATGGAATCAAAACGTTTATACAGTATCATTAGTTCAGTGCCGTTTCTTGCAGCACATTTCTGTCTCCGGCTTTTAATTTTTTCAATATTAAGTTTAAAAACGCCTCTTAGTGCTGAGGATGTTGCGCATGGTGTGGCACTTATTGATGATGGACGTTCCATTTGATATGCAGCTAATGCCATTGGAGTTCCATATGAAACTTTATGAGACGCCGTCAGGCGTTTTCGGGAAACTGGTTCTTACAATAGAAGGCCCGGTTCTGGACGGCCTAGGGTAACAGAACCACGGGATAACCGGTTTTTGACTTTGAGAATTTTACGAAACCGGCACCTTACCGTTGTTCAAGCTATTCATCAGCTCGAAGAAGTTCGAGGTGTGCAAATTTCTGAACGTACCGCTCGGAGAAGATTTAATGAGTATGGGTTAATGGCTTTTCGTCCAGTAAGAGGACCAGAGTTGACCAGAACTCACTGAGTAACATTGGACTATGGACGAATGGATTGCTGTACTTTTTACAGATGAGTCAAGATTCGCTCTTCTATCTCCAGAAAGGGTGTGGAGAAGAAGAAACGAAAGATATGCAGCCTGTAATTTTTTCCAGAGCCAACGTTTCCAACGTGGTTCCTTAATAGTGTGGGCTGGGATTTCAATGGAGCGCCGCACAGAATTGGTTGTTGTTCGTGGAGGCTCTTTGACGGCCATTCGCTATGTAGATGAGATTTTTGAACCTCATGTGTTGCCTATCCTCAACGAAATTGGCGATCGTTCTATTCTAATGCACTCCCACATGTCGCCCGCATAGTGCAGACGTTCCTTCAATAGAACAATATTGAGGTTTTAGCCTGGCCAGAACGTTCTCCAGATTTGAACCCCATTGAGCATTTATGGGATAACCTTGGAAGACAAATAAGAGCGCGTTCAACACTTCCTGATACACTGCAGGACCTTGAAAGGGCTCTTTTGGAGGAATGGGCTATCCTCCAGCAAAGGAACATTTCCTGACTGGTGGAAAGTATGCTGAGGGGTCTTCAAGGAGTGAAGGCAAGAGGAAGAAACATGCGCTACTAAACGACGATGTAGTTAATTTCTTTTAGAATAATAATGGTTCGTTTTTCAATTTTTTTTTCTCCAATCTTTCTTACCCAATCACATTTTGATTATTAAAGGCAAAAAACATTATAAAATTCCATAAATACTAAGTATTATCTACAAATACTATGTATTATATACAAATACAACTTTGTTTTACAAGTGGCAGAAATATTTTCAGATGAAAACATGAAAAAATCAAGTGGGTGGAATTTTTTGCCTGTCAGTGTATTTATCTAAAATATTGCAATATATTAAATACATTAAATATCTATGAAAAATGTGTATGTAACAGCCCAAACAACAACAATCTATTATATTCCCAAAAAATCAACTTAACGAATACAATTTCTATTTACATCCTTATCTTATTCTCATTTTCTTCAAATAATTATTTCATAACTATTTATGAAAAGTCCATTCCACAATTTAAAAATACTGCAAATTTAACATAACATCTCAAATAAGAAAAGGCCAAACCACTAATTTTTCCACATTTTACAATATTATTTTATAAATTACCTTATGGACACATCTTAACTAGTTAAAAATTATTTTTATTAAAAATTTCATTCCAATGCTATACATTTTCGTTCTATCTTTTTAATATCCTTATGTCCACTGTGAACTGTGGGCTTACATATTATTATGCTCTTTGGGATTAAGATTACTGCATTATTTTAATGCTTTAAGTTTCATATTATTGCTGATATGATTATTTTAATTAAAATTCTAATTTATTAATTATGTCAACATTTGGAATTTTTAAAATTTTGTGTCATAATTTTTACCCCTATAAATATATTAAAAGGCTTTGGTATAAAAGTTATCAGGAGATAAATAATGATAATAAAAGTAATAAGTGCCTTAATGAAAAAACATTTTAAAAATATAATTATAATAATAAATAAAGTGAGATAACTAAAAAACTAAAAATATGGGGATTGATATAAAATTGGGTGTATATAATAATAATAATAATAAATTAAACAAATATGAAAGATGAAATTAAAAAAGAGAATAAACAAAATGTTATTTATAAAATTAATTTTAAGCAATGCATAGATAAATTTTACATTGGGAAAACGTCTCAAAATTTGCAAAATAGAATAAATCAACATAAAATAAATACTAAAAATCCAAAAAATATCAATGTCACAGCTCTAGCAAGACATAGTATCATGAATAATCATGTTTTTGATTATCATAAAATAGAAATTTTAAATATAGTGGAAGATAATAAAATTAAAAAGTATAAGAGATCTATATATATAAAACTAAAGATATTAAAAATGTGGTTAATTTCAAAACGGATATTAAGGTGATTGGGCAGCACTATGTTGATATATTTAATAAATTAGAATTTTAATAAAATTAAAGTAATTTAAATAATCATTTCAGCAAAGTTATTAGCAATAATATGAAACTTAAAGCATTAAAGTAATGCAGTAATCTTAATCCCAAAGAGCATAATAATATGTAAGCCTATAGCTCACAGTCTACATAAGGATATTAAAAAGATAGAACGAAAATATATAGCATTGAAATTTTTAATAAAAATAATTTTTAACTAGTTAAGATGTGTCCATAAGGTAATTTATAAAATAATATTGTAAAATGTGGAAAAATTAGTGGTTTGGCCTTTTCTTATTTGAGATGTTATGTTAAATTTGCAGTATTTTTAAATTGTGCAATGGACTTTTCATAAATAGTTATGAAACAATTATTTGAAGAAGGTGAGGATAAGATAAAGATGTAAGTAGAAATTTTATTCATTAAGTTGATTTTTTGGGAATGTTATAGATTGTTGTTGCATGTGCTGTTACATATTTTTCTTAGATATTTAATGTATTGTAATATTTTAGATTAATAGTTCTACTTGAAAATGGGCAAAGTTGTCCTGAAACGTTGTTGTTATAAATAAAATAAAGTGAAGCATTGAGAGGAGGTGAAAGGGTTTAATAAGTTATTTCCTTGAAATTACTGATTTTATTAATTAATTAAAAATATTCTTGGAAAATTTGAAGATTTAATTAAAACATATTTTTAACAATTGCATTGGTTAGGAATAGGGTTAATTAATTGGGATGGGACAAATTAAACCATGATATCATTGCCTCAGCTGCAAAATCTTTTGCATAGTTATAATGATATTATTTATTTTAACTATGTTTTTATTTGTACTTCTGTTCTGTAATGTCATACATCAATGTTCTGTATTGTCAATAATTAAAACAAATGAAACACAAGACGAATCCCTCAAATCTCTGAACATTTTTCTCTGTGGGATTTAAGATTAGAAACAGTGTCCTCAAGGTTTATAGAGATAATTAATTATTAAATGAAGTACCAGTTTAGTACGTTATAATTAGCATTTTTAATTCGATGACTAATTGTACTAAATTTACCAAATTTTACTTTTAAATAATTATACACTTAATTGTTTATATTTCTTTAAATATAAAATATTAAGTGAATATGTTATAAGTTTATAATTACTTTAAAGCCCATCATTGATTTATAACTGTGAATAGAACCTAATGAATTTTCTAACTTGTAATAAAACCATCCATGACAACATGATAACACTATAAAGTGTTTAAGTAAATAAACATATAAAAACATCTTAATATATTGATAACTATTACAAATCTATGAAGATTCCTGGCATGGTGTTAATAATATATATTAGGAAGTATATATATTCTGAACTATAACAAGAAACCTTTTTAATATTATAAGAAAAATCTGATTCATTATTTTCAGGAGACTATTCTAGAAATAGAAAAAATGTTAATGGATGCAAAGGAGAAACTTGGGCAAAACAGCAAGGGAATAAATGCTATGAAAGGAACTATTCTGGAACTTGAGAGAAAATTGGAAGAAGTGAACAAAGAGATTGATATTCACAAAGAGAAGATCTCTAGTTCAGAAAAGAAGGTAAAGAGAACATTTTACTTGTTAATTAATCATGATTTTTTATAAATAACAAATTCTGTTTAGAATTTTATCGGTAGTCAAATAGACAATAAAAATCAGTTCATTTTTATTATTTGATTTCTGTGGTATGTTGCAATTGTTTATAATTTTTAGACTTACTTTTTATCACAACAGAATATAATGCATTGAAGAAGAGGATATATTGCCTACAGTATTGTTTATTTTAATGAACCAATTAAAAATTAATCTTTTAAGTCTTTAAAAATATATGTAGTCTTATATACAATTTATTTCTTTAGATTGCAGGATTGAAACTGCTTGAAATACCAGATGAAGAAGCTGATCTAGAACTTCCAAAATATACAGCTGAAGAGGCATTAGAATTTAAAAAAGACAACATTGGTTACCTCGTTACAAAACATGACGAAGCTATTGCTGAATTGAATGCAGATTTAAAAGTCATAGATGAATATAAAGAGAAGGTAAACTAATATTACAGTATTTATTTTTATTATTTGCATTAAAGGTAGTTTCTAATTATTTTTTTATACTTTAAAATTCAAATTCAAGCATCTATGTGCTCTTAGAATTCACTATCTATGATCATGTATAAAAAAATCACACTTGTTATGGTTATGAAATATGTAATATACTTTCTGATTTTAACTTTTATTTCTTCACCCTTTGTCGTAAACCAATGACTTCCTGTCCTTCAGTATCCTTTAACAACACCTCACTTATTCCTGTTGAACAAATCCGTTACCTAGGACTCCATCTGGACAAACGTCTAACTTGGAATCCTCATACCAGACTGAAACAGCTCGACGTTTCCGACTACTTCAACACTTACTAGACAAACGCTCTAACCTTCCAATCAATTATAAAAGACTGATTTACATGACTATAATAAGGCCTATTTGGACTTACGGAGTTGAGCTATGGGGCTCCACCAAACCTTCAAATTCCTCTCGCATACAATCCTTACAATCCAAAATCCTTCGTAAAATCCTCAATGCTCCTTACTTTGTTACAAATAAAATTATCCATAATGACCTTAATGTTCCTTATATATCAGATTTGGCCCAATCCAGATATCTGTCCTTCCATAATAAACTTCATAACCATCCCAACCCTCTTGTCTCTAACCTTGCTTCCTATTCGATTCCTGATAACCCTCCGAGGCGTCTGAAAAGAAGATGGCCGCGTGATCTTCTAATATAGACATATTATTAGAGTGCTACCAATGGGTAGTTTCTCAACATGTGTTCCATGTCTTTATACCAATGTGCGAATTTACCAGATGTATTTTTTGTATACAGTTGTAAATATCATATAAATAAATAATAATAAAAAAACTTTTATTTCATAGGATAAAATTTTGAAAGAAAGAATCGCAGAACTTGAAGAAATTACTGGTATTAGGAATGAGGCGAGGAGAGGGTATGATGAGTTTAGGAAGCTAAGGCTGAATGAATTTATGGCAGGTTTTACCATCATCAGTGCAAAGTTGAAGGAGATGTATCAGATGATCACTCTTGGCGGTGATGCTGAGTTCGAGTTGGTTGATTCTCTTGATCCTTTCACTGAAGGAATTGGTTTCAGGTTCGTTAGTACATTGCTTTCTTTTATCAAACCTCTTCTGCCTATTAATCTAAATGTAAATAAAGTACCTTAAAATTACATTTATTTTAAATGTCTAAAATTATTTATTACGTTTTTAGTATTATTCTTTTGATATAATGGAATGGTTCTTTGTTTTTGTACCATTAGACTAAAAATTATTTTTTCCAAGTTCCAGCTTCATGCATTACCAATTGTATCGGTTCATGTGAAATTTATTTTTTTTTTGTAGTGTACGGCCGCCTAAGAAGTCATGGAAACACATATCTAACTTATCTGGTGGTGAAAAAACATTATCCTCTCTAGCTTTGGTGTTTGCTTTGCATTATTACAAACCTAGTCCACTATATGTCATGGATGAAATCGATGCTGCTTTGGATTTCAAGAATGTTTCTATTGTCGGCAACTATATAAAAGTGGGTTAATGTATATGTTAGTTGCACAATAAAAGATTTTATACATTATTTTGTATTGTAGACTTTATTCTATATTTGGTTTTAGGAGAGGACGAGGAATGCACAGTTTATTATTATTTCATTAAGATCTAACATGTTTGAACTTGCTGACCTTCTTGTTGGAATTTACAAAACATTTAATTGTACCAAGAGTGTAACGGTTACTCCTGAGAAGTATGTTCGTGTTGACCATGGAAGTGGGACATTGCTGGTAGTTAACACAGATTATTACAAGGTAAGTATCAATTGAATCCTTTCAATTCAAAAAAGGTTCAGTTTTAATTGTCATGTTTATTCCAAGTTCATTTTGGCAAAATACATTAGTTTTTTCAGATCTGTGCTTCATTGATTGTTGTTCTTTATGCAGAATAAATATGTTGAAAGTTTTCTTCCTTTTTTTTTTTTTTTAAATTATAGATGGATTTATAGTCGATTGTTGATATTATGGGGATGAAAAGTAGGTAGGATATGCAATCAATAATTGTTTTTATGAAGTTTGCTGACATTTTGACCCAAGTTTGTGGATCATCATTAGGGCTATAAATAAAAAATAACAAAAATGATAAATATAGAAGTATATAAATAAGAGAAGAAAGAAAAAATAGAACATAAACATGAGTTAACGATAATATAAATGTCGGCAAACAAAACAAACATGATTATTCACTCCATAACCTGACTATTTTTTTTTTTTCACTTACCTATTTATGTAACATATACTAAGAGAACGTAACAATTTTTGAATCCGAGTTTTCAACGGAAATACGTGTTTTGAGGTCCGCTGAGTCCATATAATTAAGTCCCACGAAATGGTCTGTGTGTGTGTACATGAACTGTACAGCTCAAAAACAATTAGTCCTACGAAATTGATATGACGTATTTAAAGTATTTATATGGCTGGGATGTTACAGCAACTTTTTCATGAAAATCGGCTTTATATCATCGATTTTACACATTTTTACGATTTTCTCAAAAACGGTTCTAACGATTTTGATCAAATTCATTATATCAGTATAAAATTAAGCAGTTTTTAATATAAAGTAGGTCTTATTCTCATTGATGTTCTCTAACAGGACTTAAATGCCTAATTTTCAAAATTTCTTCCTTTGAAGTACCTTTAATTTTTTTTATTTGAGATAATTAACAGTTTCAGATTATAATCTGCTATAAAAATTGATAAAGTATAAAATTTGAAAGTATTTGATAATTAGTTAAAATAGAAATATAAGATCGTAATGGAGAATAGTAGTAATAGAGGGAACGAAGAAACCCGAACTCAGCTGAACGGTTGGAATAGGCTTTCATATGTAACTCGTGGTTTTCATAACATTGGTATTATTTAATGTTTAATTGTATAGATTACTCCAATATAATAATTAAAATTTATATATAAACCAATGCTTAAAAGAATTAAAATATCAACAATGAAATATAAATAAATATAGTTGCCTTCTTTATCAGTGGTGCTCTTGTTGGACTAAAAATATTGGGTTTTTCCAGAAAATAATGCAGGATTTTAGTTTGAAAAGAAAAAAGAAAGATTTACAACTTTTTTAATTAATCAAAATAGTCTCCACTGCTATCAATACATTTCTGCCAACATATTGGCAACTTTTCCATTCCCTCGGAATAGAATTTTCCATCTTTAGAATAGATAATCTCCAAAAACGCATTTTCTAATTCCCTTTGTCCATTTAATTTTTTGTCATGTAAGTAGTGGTCCAGGTGTATAAAAAAATGATAATCATTAGACGAGATGCGAAGAGTATGATGGATGTGGCAGAGTTTCATATTCAAATTCCAACAGCTTTTATAATATCACTTGAGACATGTGGTTGGGCATTGTCATGCAACAAAATGGGCCCCTTCCGATTAATCAAAGATGGCTTCATTATTGCCAATTTCTGGTTCATTGCATTAATTTGGTTACAATACAATTCGCCATTGATGGTTTCTCCAGGATTTAAGAAGCTGTAGTGAATCAAACCAAATGAAGCCCAACACAGTAACCATCACCTTTTTTTGGGGCTTTGGAAAATGTTTCTTATTTGCCGGACCACTGTCCAAAATGTCTACTATTATCGTAAAGTATACACTTTTCATCACAAGTAACAATTCTGGACAGAAAAGGTTGTTCAGGGAGGCGATCAGACCAGGATCATGCTCAACCGCCAGGTTTTCTCCCTTAATTAATTGTCATAATTATTATATAATATGTTATAGTAAATATAGGTTTATATTGTGTCTTAAAGCATTCTATATCCATTCAAGATATAGAAATAATTTCAGTAGATACTCAAAATAGTTCATTATGCATAATGTTTGACAATAAGAGAATAATACACTTTTATATATTTTCGTTTAGGCCATGTTTGTTCCACATTTTGTGTTTTTCTTTTCTTATTATCATGGCAACATTTCCGCTGTGTTGCCATTTTCAAGCCATCTGTAAGACTTAATTAGCAATTAGTTTTATACAAAAACTACATGTACCATTATGTGATAGTGACGTTAATATTTTCTTAAATCCAACATTTTATATAGATCATATCTCTAATGGGGTTGTGTCAATAATTAATTTAAATTTTAATTTTACTTATAATGAATATTTAATTGTATTCATAATGAGTACATATGTCAGCTTTAACCCTCTTATTTCACTATGGGTACTGGGATCTTCATTTTTCAGAAATTCCCAGTTAGAAAATTTAGTGAATTGGCTTGCACAATGTGATTGACGCCTTAAAATGAGAATCTATAAGAAGGAAAAACTTTAATATACGGGATGCCTGCAAAAATATAACACTTGGTCTGTTGTGTTGATATGCCATGAAGGCTATATTGAGATATTTACTTAATTGAAAATTATTAGCTTATAAAAAAGTATCCAGGGAACAGATTTATATCAGACTTTGGGAATGGTAGTTTTAAAAGCAAATCTCTCATTCGAAAATTGTATAATTAAACTCTGTTACACATGTTTATACCACGTTGGAACAATCCAAGTAGGAAAAATGGTTTTGTTCTAATGTTGAAAACATAAATTATTTGAAAAGCATGCAGCTGACGATATAAAATGTTTTCCCGTAATATCGATTAATGAAATGATAAATCATTGTTATTAGAAATGGCATATCGGCGTAAACGACTTTTATCAATGGATGTTAAAATGGAAGAGTAAAATATAGCAGCATATGTGACTTACGCCATAGAAGGCAGTGGCCTATGTGCCTTCAAAGTCACAAATACAGAAACTATACTGTGTTTTCCTTCTCTGCGCCTTTATGTGTATCAGCCTTCAATTAGGTACATGTGATAGCCTTTTCTTAGGGTGTGTAAACCGCTTAAGTAATAACAGAATCCTCTTTCTTGTTGAATTCATTTTTTACTTTCGCTTATATATTTATGAAATATATAGCAATGGAAAGTATTGTGATCTTGAAATATTTTGAATCCGAGATTTTAATGGTCTCCTGAGTCCGATAACCAAGTTTCACAAAATTTAATATTAAAAGCCGTGTGAAAGTGAAATTATGTATTTAGAGTAGATTTATGTCTGGAATGTTACTGTTACATTATCATCTAAATCGACCAATTGGGAGTCCAATTTTAGATCATGGGTTTACTAATTTTTATAACTTTCTCAAAAATTGCTCTAACGATTTTGATAAAACTCATTGTTTGTAGTATAAAATCAAATGATTTTTAATGTCAGGCAAGTATTATCCTCATTGAAATATTCTGGCAGGACTTAAATACCAAATCTTCAAAATTTCTTTAAAGTATCGTTAATTTTTTAAAAAAATAATTAACAATTTCACATTGTTAATGAAAAGCGGTTAAATATAAATACTTGGCACCCTGATAAATAAATAATAAATTCTTAAAATGTACAGTTGTAGAAGGCAATGAACAGTGACGAATAGCTTATAAATTTAAGATGTGTGGGAAACACATATGTTAATTAATGTTTTAAATGAAAATGCTATATCGTTTACAATTTTTACCCTCATTTCCCTTCTATATGAAAATACTTATTTCTACTCAGAGTAGAATGTTAAGTGGAAGTTATGTAATGCGTGCACTGCAGCTATTTTTTTTAAATGAATAGTCCAAACCAGGTTAATTTAACTGTTTATCATTATTATCTATACAGATAATATTTAAGATATTTTTAATTAAATTCAAACTGTTAATGGATCAGTAATTTAAATTACATGTATATGTCTCACAAAAATATTTAAACCCGAGAATAAACACATATATGACAAAAGATTGGTATAAATTTGCCGGATTATGGTAGCTGTTGGATAAAAATAATTTAATAACTTATCTATGCTGTGAAAAATTAGAAAAGATAAAAAAAAATCTTTTTACTATCATAACAACTTCTTATGTGATAACCTTTAGTTCCATTTAGTTCTTTTACTTAGTATTATATTGAAATTTTATTTTTGCCATTATTTCTAAATTTTCTTATATTCAATGTTACTAAATATTGCAGGTTTGCCAGCCCACTACAACAGCAGATGACGATGACTGGTCACCTCCACGAAAACGTGTTCGATAATAATTTATCTTTTAATGAGGGTTGGGGTAAATAGTGTATAGTTATCAGTATTTTAAATATTGTATAATATAAATCAAAAATACTAATGCAAGAGTTGCAGTCAGAAATGGTCTCTTTTAAATAATTACCAATAAATTTAAAAAAAAATGAAAAGTATATGTGTTAGTTTTAAAGTTTAAATTGGTATATATATATATATGTGTATGATTGTATGTATATAACCTTGAACTAATAATAGATCTGGTTTTAAAAAACAAAATGTTTTAAAGCTGTATATTTTAAATGTACGTCTAATTTCAAATGTTATATTCACTAAATGTTGTATAGTTATTTTTTAGTAGTCATAGTATTGTTTTTATGATATGTATATATATATATATATATATATATATATATATATATATATATATATATATATATATATATATATATATATATATATATATATATATATACATATTTATGAGAAGATGAACTAAAAAAGAAAATAAATTTTTATTTTAATGTTTTTAGAAAACTATAAATTCAAGTTTATAATTTATTCCTTTCCTTTATTCCAATCAGTACTATTAAGTACAGCAAATTGAAAATGATTTCAAAATAAGAGGGAGCATTTAGGTTTCTCTCACCTTTGTTTCTCTCTCCTACCATCCCCCCATTCACTTCCAAAAAAATTTTAAATTATATAAGTATCAGATTGTGAATTATTGTTAGTCTTGATCTTGGACTGTGTTATTTATATTCTGATTTCTTTAGGTTTTTAAAATTGAATTTCAATTCTTAGATTGAATTATGGGTAAGAAATATTGGATAAGAATTATGCTTATATAAAAATGATGCCATTATTGTGAAGCAGGGGAATCGTTTAATTATTCATTCACGACCATGAATAAACTTAAACTAAGTAATGCAGAATTCTGTGTATCTGTAGTTCATATTATATTCCTGGTGCTTCTAATGTAGTCAAAGTATTTATCTCTGTAAACTGTTTGTTTTTTATCTGTCCTTCATGTTGCAGTGTGTGGAAATACTTTTCATTCTTTTATTTACTCGTCTGAACATTTTATTTTTTACACTTTTTGATCCTTCTGTAACCCTGAACTGCTTCTTTCTCTACCTTTACTGACTCTCCTATTATCTTTCTAAACCTCATTTACAGCTATGTGATCAGCCAATGCACTCATGATTATACTCATCTTTATTTGGTGAGAATACTGTCAGTGATCTTTTCTCATCCTCTCCATATCCTTCTGATTCTCGGGCAAATAGGCAATCTGTCTATAAGGAAAAAAAATGTAATGGAATTGATGCAAGACTTGGAAACTGGAATAATGGCTGAAAAATAGATTGATAGAGGTTAGTAAAGGAGATTAAACAGGAAGTATATTCCAGGAGTTGATGGAGTATAAATGAAGAAAAGCTTTAATAGAATGAAGACTTATAACATTGCACTTCAGAAACTATTTTTGAATTTTATGACAATGAAAAATTATTAAATACTCTATGAGAAAAAATTCAATTTGAATCCAAAGAAAACTTTTATTCTCTGAGTTTTCAGAGACCTTTTTTTTACATTAAAGAAAAGGGAATTGGAAAAAAATCCTTACGGAATCAAGTTATATAGCAGATATAATAAGACTTAGAGAAATGAACTAGATTAGTTACATTTTTCAATGAGACCTATGTTAAGCAAAATTACTTGGAACATTATATTTGACATTATTTAAAATGTAGAAGTTGTTTCAAGGTTTCTACAGATAAAGGAACAAAGACATAGTTTGTTTTGTCAGATCAGTAAATAGATTTTATTTGTATTTTGTTGGGGTGATAGACCACACTGAATGAATGATACTAGTTTTAACAAAGTATTTTTTTAGTAATTTCAATTAGATGATATATTGAACCATATGTAATAACTATAGAAAATTCTCTGTCATTCAATGTAATTTTGACTGGAAGGTGCTCTGGGTCACAAAAAACATTCAATTCTTTGATAGTAATATTTTTTTCTTACCAATGAGAAGCATCTATCTGTGATTTACTATAATAGCGGATTGATTTTTCATAAGGCATACTGAACTTTCCTATCTTTTTTTTTTTCCAAACCCCCAGTTTGAATATTTTTTTAAAATATATTATGCAGGAGATTGAGCTTTTTTCTGAAACGATGTTTTATTTTAAAGCTGTTTTGAGGTTGCATTTTCATGCTTTCTTATATTGCGAGTATTTTAAAAGGCTTTGCGTCACTTTTTTTCTGAACTGAATATTCAACTATATATATGTATACAACTCATGATGTATTCTGCAATCGCACTGGCGTAGGTGTCGGTTGAGAGTAATGGGCTAGGGAGGTATTTAAGTGAGTCCAGGAATTAAACATGCCTCCTGATAAATTCCGTAATCGTTGGGATATCCAGTATATGTTGTGGAGAGCTGGAGGTTTTTCTTTTTTCCACACCGTTGTACTGACAATCTTCCTTAGAATTGTGTTTTGAAATTGCTGAATGTGTCGATGTATGTTTTCAGTTAAGTGTATAAAGAGCGGTGCACCGTAGGGGAGTGCTGGTCTTAGTATGGCCTTGTACACCTGTAACTTGAGTCTAATCGAGAGGGCTGAAGATATGAGGAGATGGTGCAGATTGTTGGACCATAGTTCTGCCCAGATCCACTATGGAATTGGATGGCTTTATATAGTGTTTTGCCACTCGGAGCGCTATTGGCAGTCTACTCTTTTTACTCTTTTGATAAGAAAACACTATGCAGTCTATGTCTTCTCTGGATTTACTTAAATACTGAGATTTTCCAGCTGTTGAACTATCTCATTGCCAGTGTGTTCAACTTGTAGTGCTTTTTCGGAGTTGACCTTTCCTATCAAATTTCAACTCGGGGTATTATTATATCCAGATTTTAATTTTTGACAACAGACTAGCTTTTACTTTCAGTATTATTATTATTTAGTTATTTTTTTAATATAATGTAATTACTACTAATCAATTCAAATCCAGAAGGAATACTGAAGGGACGAACGAATGAGTGAGAATTCAAGTCAAAACAACAACTATAAATGTCTTGCTAACAAAACAGCTTATACAAGGGAAGTATCTTTTTATCATCAAATACTTTAGGCAACAAATATTCCAAAAGTATTTCTCACTTGTGTTTATTTATTCCTTTTGTAATGTTAAATTCGATTTTTGTTTGTCACAGAATTATTTACCTTTCTCATATTTATCTTGAATAATGAATCATTTTGAACTGTATAGTAAAATTAAAAGGTAAATATTAACAAACTTTTACATTTATATTAATAAATCGTCTAATTCATCACATAAATGTGCAATTTAATCCAACAAAAATCAAAATCGTTCAATTTAATACAAAAACAGTAAAATGAGCAATTTTTTGCAATATAAAAGTTAAATATGTTATTTTACACATCCTGAAACTGATAGATATTCCGGTCTACAGTTTTTACACGCAAGCGAATTAATGAATGAATGAATGAATGAAAATAATTTTATTATTCTGGGACTAGTGTCCCTTTAGAACAAGTTACAAATACAGAATATATGTTAATATTTTGGTGTGTCCATAAAATACAATTTAATATTTACAGGTTGATTAGAAATACAATAACGTTATAAAAAATGAAAATATATAAAAACGTGTAAATATGAAATATACAGAGAAAGTAATTAAGTAAACGAAATATTGAACTGTGAAATAACATGGAAATCAGGTCTCTAGTTATAATATTACTTAGCATTGTATAAAATTACACACCTTGCCGAAAAAGAAGAGTTAATTTATACCACAGGCGAATAAATAGGATCTAAGGAGTGGGGAAGGGGAGGGAGGTGCTTTCCGGCTGAGTTTCCCCCAGAATGGTAAAATGTAACCATGTTTTATGGTAAAAAATATAAAAAAATTATCTCTTAAAGTTTCGCGTAATATAAAAAGATTGTTAGTATATTATAGTATATATTAATTACTATATATTATACGCGTAATTAGTATATATATATATATATATATATATATATATATATATATATATAGTTTGTATCTTACTTTTTTTCCAAAGTAATTATCGTTATAGACATGAAAAAAAAAAAAATTCGGGCTGAAATCCTTCCTCCAAAAAAATTAAATCCTGAATCCGCTAGCGATTTTTACAATAGTTCCAAGTGTATTATTGTAAAATATATGATCCTATTTTATAAAACTTGAGCCACAGAGAACCACATTTAATCGCATATCTCAGAGATAAACTTTGCCTTTAGGTAGAATATATCACAAACAAAATGTATGATGTATAATTTTAAAGTTTCTCTTATCACGAGGCCTGAGGCAGTTAATATAAGTACAAACGGCTCAGTGAAGTTAAGTTGATGAAGAAGTTGCCGAGCTTTTGCGTGCCTAATGTCTCAGCAAATCACCTCGGCCTGACAGAGGACTATTATCTCCCCGGAACAGATAACATTTGAGCCCTTTGTAAGTGGATCCTTCCGCTACAGTCTTCAAATCAAATTGCAAGCGGGTAGAATAAGCCAATAACAAATTAGTTATTCTGCAATCCTATAAAAGTACTTAATTAAATATTTTCCACATTGTATGTGCAACACTATATTTTTATCTTTGAGAAATTATTTGAAATATGGAATATTAAGCATAGCTCAGAAAAATGCAATCTCATAGATTTTACGCCGCCGAAAAATAATTTTTCTTATACTTTGTTCAATTCGATGTTTGTATCCTCGAAAATGTTAGCTCCTAGATTATTCCTAGACTATTGGCTTGGAACAGACAACTGTCTACGATTATCTCTCAACTGAAACTATCGTAAAAGGGTGAATCACCTGAAGTATTTAGAAGCTCCCCAAGATACCAAATCGACCTGCACTTTGTAAATATATTTTGAACTGAAATCACGGCAAATGAAATGGGTAAAGTTATCAGGTTAGATCACTAGCGGATCCAAGGGTTTAATTTTTTTTTTTGGGGGGGGGGCTTCAGCCCGAAAGCTTTTTTTTCATAAATTTTTTTTTTTTTTAACTTTTATTGAGTATTAATACAGTCTGCCACACTGAAGGGCATTGGTACTAGTGCTATAGTATTCATTCACACAATATGTACATAAGAAAGGGGAAAAAAAGTATATATATATATATATATATATATATATATATAAATAAAAAGATAAAGTAATATACAAGATAATTAAAACAACAGACCAGCCGAGTAATAACAAAACAAATAAAACACATTCACACCTATGTACAATATTTACATTGGCCCAGGGGACTCCGAATCAAGCTTTGTTCCCCAACTGTGGAAGCCAAAGCAGGACTCCAGAAGATCCCAGTGCTTCTCTCCCAGCCGCGTCACTGGTATAGTAAGCCAGTGGAGGCTGATGGAGGGCACTATAGCAACAGACGTTCAGGATGAAAAATCTGGCCAGTGCCAGTACTCCAATATATACATTTTTATAAAAGGTCGCGGGGCCACTGCCGTTTTAACCTCCGAGGAGGATTGTAGGGATGACTGGAGGTAGATAGAGACTGTGCTACAGGATTAGGATGATGAGTGAGATCCTGGTGAAATTTGGAAAATTTGTCTGGGATTAGGTCAAGTACAAATGGGATACTAAGGTCATTGTGTAGGGTTTTATTGGTTACATAAAAGGGAGCATCGACTATTGTTCGGAGAACTTTAGACTGGAAGGATTGAATGCGTTTGATGTTGGAAAGTTTTGCTGTCCCCCACAGTTCGAGTCCGTAGGTCCAGATAGGTTTCAGGATTGTCTTGTAGATTAATAGTTTGTTCTCAACTGAAAGTTGAGATTTTTTATTAAGTAGTCTATATAGTTGGCCATATCGTCGGTTAAGCTGTTGTCTTTTAAGTCTGGTATTTGGGTTCCATGTTAGTCTTTTGTTCATAAAAATAAC